AGACTGAAGTTGACTTCTGTCTCTTAGATCTTATTCTAGAAGCCTGACTCTGCTTTGCCATTTATCTTACCCTATTTTTCCCCTACATAAATCTTAGAAGCCTCCAGAAACAGTTTAGGCCTTAATACTATCCTAAATATTAAATTCACAGTTTTGCAGTGTATATGATTACCTGGAAAGGTGACACAAGCCCTATATTTTTGTAACATCTCAGCTGAGGTTCTGTATTATATATTTCTCTGAGTGTAAAAATCTTTCAACCCATATAGGACATATGCTTCAGTTAATGAACTACTATTTCTTTATGTGTTTTACAAAAAGCTTCATTGTATGGCTTCATTTTTCTATTAGACAGCTATTTTGATTATTTCTCTTACTGTCAGGAAAAGAATCTATTTCAAAAGGCAATTAAAAATATTCCTCCATGGATTCCACATTTTTGAAACAACAAAAGAGTCATTCATGCCCTACAAAAGGTACCTCTAGAGCTCTTTGCAAGGCAGTGGGATTATGAATGAAGAACAGACAGATTGTAAGAGAAGTCTTTGAAACTAAAGAATAGAAACCTAAGCAAGCAGGCCAGCCGAGAAGGCACTGACACAGAGGGGATAACTGCAAGAACAGTACTGCAAAGTAGTGGTATAAAAGAAAAGAAGTGGATCCTGTTAGCTATACAACACTATGGATAATATAAGCTAGCACTGAAGTGCTCACAGCTAGTTTCTAAAATCCTGGTATTGAAGACCCCAAACTGCTTTACTTGAAAGGGAAAAAAGCCTGGAAATAGATAAAATGCTGAAACAGTTACTAAAACACCAGTGAAAAAGACCTGTTTGCAAGCACATGGATAGCCTGGAAATACATCAGGACATGCGGGCTAAAAGAACAGTCGAGTTGTAGGGAAATAAACAACTTTCGTAACTGTATCTGTTATTTTAATCTTGATATTTACAGGAGGAAGTCAGAGTTTTACCACTCTTTAAAACTTCTCACCATTCTTTTTTCTTTTTTTTTTTGGCACAGAAGTGCTTCAGGGCCTAAACTGAGCTTTAAAGTAAGCTACTTCCTCCAAAATGTACTAGATGCACTTTGTAAGTTTGTCTGAAAGAAAAAACTGCTTGATTTCTTGTTATATACAGTTTAAGATAAATCATTGTGAACTCTGGGTATCTCAGGATGATACAGAAAGCAGCAGTCAGGGATAACCACTGTCGTGCAGACAGAGCTGCCAGTCACAGTGCCAGCAGCCAGTTTGGTGAGCGCATCTGCTCTGAGCAGGCACAAACACCTGGGCCAGCCCTGCCTAAGCCACTGCACTCCTGTAACACACATGCTCTGCTGGGGCTCAGAGGAACTCACAGCTACAGAGCTGAACCCTTGCTAGCAAGCCTTGCCCCACACTTCCACACCTTCCTGAGGCACTTCTCATTCCTCTGCTGTCTCGGGCTCCATCTCTGCAGCCACCCACGCTGTGATCTCCCCACTTTGGTTCTCATCCTGGGACTGTCAGCAGAGGAGGGGCATCCTCCCAAAAAGGGGGAACAACTCAGGGTAAGTCTGCCCTGCACAGGCGGACACAGAAACTTCAGAGGCACTTGAGCTAACCACACCAGGTAATTGACTGCATACAAAATGTCAAGCCATGACAACAGACTTCAATGTGAGCAAATCTCTTCTGCCTTCCTGGTGGACCACATTTATGCTTATGAGTATTAACTCTTAAAGTAAATTGAGAATGCAAACAGAGAATGAACATGGCTTGCTGTTCTTTCCTAGTTCCCAGCAGGATACATAAATAATACCATAACGCAGCTGCACAGCAAAGGAAAACAGAATATATACAATGTAATCCCATCTTCGGCATGGAGACTGCTGCTTGTTTAATGCATGCACACGCTACCCTACTAGCTGGCAGTTCTGAAGATAAGTCATGGGACTCAGAAAAACAGAGCTTGATTCCTGACACTCAGCACATTTTGAAAAGTGACCTCATCCTGTTTCCTCCTCCCATTCCTTCTGCCTTTTTTCATTATATATGCAGTGTTTTTAACATGCTTGCTGTTGATTTTTTTCTTCAGAACCTTGATATACAAACATAAGTTCGCCAAATTAAAACTGAAGGAAGTGGTTCCAAATACTAAGCCACAAAGAGCTGGAATTCCTTTAGAACTGGTCTCTGCATGGTAGGTTTTTTTGGCTCTAGCTCTACACTGGTAAAATATTCTTAGTATATCAATATACTGATGTAAATGAATAAAAATTACTAGAACCTGTCTTTTCCTTGCTATGTAAGAAAGACCCATTAGTCCAGAACCAATGTTTCTTGTGCTGTCTGCATCAACAGATATACCCATAGCACAACAACAAGCCAGCCATCTGCTTGTTACGTTTGAACAGGTCTAGGTGAATGAGTAAAAAAATTACATATTTAGTCCAAATCTGTATCTAATTTCAGTCCAGAATCCAAGTTGTTCAGCCAGACTGCTGCTGAGCTCCAACCAACTTGTGTCCTGCTCGCAGCTTAGGTATGACACCATAATGAAACTAAACTGCTTCCAGTTTAGCAGTTGCTTGTGTCTGGCCAGCCCAGGGAGCGAGCAGAGCTGCCAGCCACCTGTGTGGACACCAACTCCCTGCCTCAATTCACTGGGAATAAAGTACTGAGATGATGCACAACATGTAAAGCAGGCAATTTGTTGTAAATTATTAAGAGGTCCGTGAGTGCAGGACTCTGAGGTATGTGTTTCAGAAACCCTCGAGTGCACCACTACAACAAAAAAGAACAGTCCTAAAGAGAGCCTGTAGTGGGGCATCTGTAAGAGGACATCAGTGGTGATGCTCTTCAGTTTCTTCTACCTTAATATACATTCTCCTGCCAAAGCAATTCCCCTTATACATTATCCTACACATAAAATGAACTAATATTACTAAGTTCCATTGCTAAAAAAATTAGGTTGGCCAGACTCTTTCCATAGTATATATTCCAGGTATAGACTGACCTGTGAAAAAGATTTTCATGGAAAATCAGAACCATAGGATCAGCTATCTGAAAATTTGATATTTCCAGCTGGAAACTTGCACAGCTGTTGGGCATGGACACTGGGTAACCAGAATTTCACATGTGTGATGGTTTTGGCTGGGGTCAAGTTAATTTTCTTCATATTATCTATCATGGGGCAATTTGGATTTCTGATGCAAAACAAGAATAATAATCCAGAGATGTTTTTATTACTGCTAAGCAGTGCTTACACGGTCAAGGCTTTTCCTGCTTCTGATAGCACCCCACTAAGGGAGGAGATTGTGAATGCACAACAAGCTGGGAATATACACAGCTGGGACAGGTCATCCAACTGCCCAAAGAGATGGCATCATGCTCAGTATAGGGTGCTGAAGGAAGGAGGAAAAGGCATTTTTGTTCCCAAGTAACCATTAATTGTGATGGGGATGCTTTCCTGGGGATGGCTAAACACCTGCCAGCCCAGGGGAAGCAGTGAATTAATTCCTTGTTTTTCTTTACCTATTAAACTGTCTTTATATCAACTCATTATTTTTCTCACTTTTACCTTCCAGTTCTGGCAGTGAACATGCAGCTGTGTAGCACTGAGTTACTAGCTGAGGTTAAACCACAATAGTTCCCTTTTGATGCCCACCATGGGATGCAGAAGGTTCAAGATAACAGCTTTGATTGGAATGTGTTAGATGGAATTTATAGCCTTTATTGCTGCTTGGCTGCTTTGGGCAGACTCCTGTGCTGGCCCTGGCCTTGATGCTTTACAGTGCATTAGTGTAGTGCTCATCTGTGCCTGCTTTTTGCTTTCCCTGCTGGTGTGCGGCTGATCCCCTCCCTCTGCTGAGCTTGGGGACATTTTGAGGACAGCAGTGGTGATGCACAGGGACTGGCAGATGGCCAGGGCATCGCTGCTGGTTCTGTGCTGCTCTACTGGACATGCTGGAACTCTAGTGTGAGCTTCAGTCAGAGAGACTGGGACCTGTGGATGCGTCCGTGTGGGAGCAGGATATGACTTCTCTGACCATGAATAAGTCCATGCCAAAGCAGGCACGTCTGGAAGTGCCCGTGGCCGGGGCTGTCCGTGCCACAGCAGGGGCAGCCCTGAAGGCTTGGGGCCCAAGGACAGGCCCGTGCTGCAGCAGGTACAGCTTGAAGCACCGGGGGCTGCTCATGAGGCCGTGCTGGAGCACCTGGAAGTGCGTGGCCATGGATAAACCCCCAGTGGAGCAGGAACACCCTGCAGGGCCTGCAGCCGGGCCGAGGCTCTGTTGGGCGGGTTTGCTTTCTGAGGGGACGGCGGCTGTGGGTGAGGCCGTGCTGCAGCAGATCTGTCTCTGAGGCACTGAGGCCCATGGACAGGGCCGTGCTGCAGCAGATCTGTCTCTGAGGCACTGAGGCCCATGGACAGGGCCGTGCTGGAACAGCCGCCCCTCAGAGCCCCTGTGGCTGTGGATAAATCCATGGAGCCGCAGGTGTGTTCCTGAAGAGCCCGTGGCTCACAGAAATGCCTGCACTTGGGGCACGTACAGCCCTGAGGAACTGCAGTCCCTGGGTAAACCCGAGCCAGAGCAGGGGAAAGGGGAGGAGTTCATTACAACATTAATCATGAGGGTCTAGTCCAAAGGAATGGGGAGTGGAAATAGCTTTAAATTGTAATCCAGGATTTGAGATGTGTGTTTTAGGGATTAACATAGCAGAAGCCACCTGAACCAATGAAGGACAAGCCTTACATGAAGCAGTGCAAGTGCAGAAACATTATGATGTATTGTTGCAAAGTGGCTGAAGGGAGAGCTTGAGAAAGGGCTGTTACATATTCTAACTAGAAAAACCAGGAAGCTGTGTAACCACTGCACCACCTTGCACTGCTGTCAGTTTTCCAAGGGGGCTCCATATCATAATCAACTGATTTTATAAGCTATAAAAATGAGCTCATAGACTGAGCTGAGTACACTGAGCTCAGTTCAGAAGCAAACATCTGCACATAGGTTCTTGATTTCTCAGTACTTAGAATATTTTGCGCCACACGTACCTATGGACACTACTTCATTCACTTGACAACTTCCTAAGCACAGGTTTTGTGAAGCACTACACCATTTGATTTTACTGTAGAGTTAAAAGAAGATGTCAAAAGAAAAAAAAAGTAAAAAGATTTGAAAATTTTGCCAAGGGAAGTTACCTGATATATATCACCATAATTTTCAATTTCTCCACTTGCAGAGTGACATTTGCCATCATTGAAATCCCAGCCAGAGTATGGTACAGCTGGAAAATCTCTGTTTCCAGCATTAAAATAGCTTCCACAGGTAGAATGTGTGCCTGAACCACCTGCAGCCCCACACATGTGGTTGACGACAGCATCCACATAGATACGAACCTGGAAAAGCAATATGTGCATTTCAGTACGTTTTGAAGCAAACGTGAAGTGATAGCCAAGGCTTTACCACATCACTATTAAGTTGATTTTTTTTTCCTTTCAGTTTTTTCTCAGTTTACACTTCCTTTGAGGACAGCAACACCTGCCCTCAGTTTATACAGCACTTCTTGCTGTATCAGACACAGATTTTCAAGGCACTTACTCCAACATTGTTGCATCTGGTCACCATGTCTCTGAATTCCTCTTCATTTCCTGATCGAGTACAGAGCTTGTAGCTAATGGGCTGGTATCTTTCCCACCAGGGTCTGTTCGGGTTAGTAATAACAATGTTTTCATTTGGAGGCGAAACCTGCAGATGAAATTACGTACTTTGATAAGAAATCAAATGGTTTTATTTCAGCATTTTAAGGGCAAAAATCTGCACTCAGGACCTCTGCCCTCAGGAAGCTCAGTACCCAACCCAGTCTCTCTCCCACAGCAGAAGTTCAGGTCTGTGAGATGTCTGTCTTGTACACTGGCAAGAAAGACATTTTGGTTTGTACCTGTGGGTTGCCCAAGTCAAGCATGGGCCTGCTTTCGAGGTCATGTTCATGGAAGGGCTGAAGCCACAGCCATTATTTTTACCTTTAATAGTGACAGCCTTAGGAATGCCAAACCTCGTTGCTTCCATACTTCCTTTTGAACAAGGTAAAGAGCTTTAACTTCTACTTAGCTTTCAGGGGAAGCTTTTCAGAGGAAAGCATGCCCCTTTGTAACTGATCTGGTAGAGGTACACCATCATTCACTGGTCCTGCAGGGTTAGGGTTGCTTCTAAAAGCAATTACTTCCAGCCCTCCCTCCTCAGCAGCAGAGTTACTGGGAGATGACTGTCTCCAGCATTTTGACTAATTAATCAAATATTACAATGCCATTTTCCTACCACTCAGGAAACAACTCACCTGAACACCTCCAAATCCATTAGGAGCTAAGTAGCGTTCACACTCCTGAGCAATATCCTGCCAGCGCCATTCAAAGAGATGCACAATAGATGTTCTCTTTGGGAGAGTGTTGGGGTTGTACCTGCAGCTGCGAGGAGGAGGAGGATGACTTGCATGGTGCCTTCAGTGTAAGGCTGTGGTCTCTTCACTTGCTATTTATGTGCCTGCAAGATGAGAAAGTTCCTGTAGCAGGTGTCGAAATTCACATGGATCAATGCTATCAGTTATTATTTAGATAGCTAGCTCAATATCATTGCTTTGGTTTGTTTTTTCTCCTGGATTACCCAACAGCTGAAGATAAAATACCTTTTCACAATGATTATACGCCATCATAAACCAAGAGGTCCGTAAGCAGTGCACCCAAATCCAGAACTGCACTCTTTCCAATCACACAAACAAAGATACTTTAGCAAGAGTATTCCAAAACATAACATGCAGACCCTCAAAGTGGTGTCTGGAAGGAAAAAGGAGTGGGAGGTGATTGAAAGATGACTGGAAATCTAACACCATTAGGAGAATGAATAGGTTTGACAGCATTCAGAAGTGCCTTGCTCTCAGGATTAGACTGAGTTCAGACCAGGATATGAACAACTGCTGTGGTTTGCCACTGGCCCAATGCCAGGCACCCTCGAGAGTTGCTTGCTCAAACTCCTCTGCTACAGCTGGGCTGTGGAGAGGGAAAGAAAAAAACTAACAAAGGGCTCATGAGTGAGACAAGGACCAGGAAAAAAACATTTCAAGGGCAAAATAAGTTCAACTTGAGGTTGCAAAGTGAATTTTATTACCAACAGAATCAGAGAAGTAAAATAAGCCCTTAAAACACTGTTCTCCCCCAGCCCTTCCCCCATTCCCACAGACAGTGCAGGGAGACCCAGCGTGGGGGTTTGGTCAGTTCATCACCGAGGTTCTCTGCTGCTGCTCTGGGAGAGGAGCTCTTCCCCTGTGGACCGTGGGGTGCCTCCCATGGGAGACAGTTCTCCATGAACTTCTTCAGCACAGGTGCACTCTGCAGCATCTGCTGCAGCCTCAGTCCTTCCCATGGCAGACAGCCCTCCCAAAACTGCTGCGATGTTCCCACGGGCTGTTCCCACGGGCTGCGGTCCTCCAAGGACAGGCTGCTCCAGCCTGGCAGCAAAGGCCCCCTCTCTCCATTGGGTCTCCAACTGGATCACAGCCTCCTCCAGGCATCTACCTGCTCCTCCTGCACAAGCTGTGGGTGGATCTCTGCATCCCTCATGGATCTCCATGGGCTGCAGGTGGATCTCTGCATCCCCTGTGGATCTCCGTGGGCTGCAGGTGGATCTCTGCATCCCTCGTGGATCTCCATGGGCTGCAGGTGGATCTCTGCATCCCTCGTGGATCTCCATGGGCTGCAGGCAGATCTCTTCATCCCCCATGGATCTCCATGGGCTGCGGGTGGATCTCTGCATCCCTGTAGATCCCCACGGGATATGAGTGGATCTCTTCATCCCCCATGGATCCCTATGGGCTGTGAGTGGATCTCTGTGTCCCTGTAGATCCCAATGGGCTGCAGGGGCACAGCTGCTTCACCATGGTCATCACCACAGCCTCCAGAGGAAGCTCAGCTCTGGCACCTGGAGCATCTCCTCTCCCTCCTTCTGCACTGACCTTGGTGTCTCCACATTGTTTCCCTCACATGTTCTCACTTTCTCTTCTTTTCTGATTAGAAGAAAAACCATGTGACTTTGTTTTGATTTTCTTTAAAATAAGTCATCACAGAGACATTACCTCTCTCATTGTCCCAGTTTTGGCCAGCAGCATGTCCATCTTCAGAGCCATCAGGGACTGGCTCTGCTGGACATGGTGGAAGTTTGCAGCAGCTTCCCACAGGAGCCACCCTGGTCCTCTACCTAAAACCAGGCAGTGCAAAAACAATGCAACACAATGTTTAATCAGTAACAGATTTATCACACAAGAGGTTGTGGGTCTTCACCAGGTGAATCCCACTGGAACTAGGAACTGACACCTTCTTACACCTAATGTTTCTCTGGGGTCATTGCCCAGTCCCTGCTATGAACTGTGACAGGTTTTCTTCACATGGTCATGAAGAGCAGCTGATGGAAACTGATCAGAGTTGCATTTGCATCTCCAGCAGAAACTTTGCATAAGATTTCATCTCATTTTAAGTGATCAATGATTCATCTGAGTCAAGGAACAAATTCCAAAATCAGATGCAAATGATAGGGCAGATGAGTTTTAGCTCCTGACATATAACTGAATTTGAATTCTAGAGCTGTTGTCCAAGTCCTTTCTTGCATTTCCTACAATTTCCTCCTTCAAAAAAAAGATCTTTGACTTTTCTTCATGAAATTATTTCAGGTCTTCATTTGGAAGTGATCAATAATTGACATTGATAAGATCAATGTCTCAGGGACAATCCTCCAAGAATTAACTTGAGTTGTATTAACAATAATACTCCAAGAGAATGCAAAGACTAGAAAATCACTGGCATTTGATGAATACCTGTGAAGAAAATAAAGTTCCAAAAAAATGTCACAGTTACTGAGGAGAAAAATATCAGTGCACTTCTTATCTGTACTGCCTCTGGTGTGTTCTTTCTAAAACTAGCCATACCAGCGTGTCACATGTGTCCTTCTCTTTCCCAGATTTGGTCTTCAAGGACAAAACACTCAAGTAGGTCCCACTTTTCCACCTGTTCATTTTCATATTGCAGACCTTTAATAAGGTCTCTTTTTCCACTACTGCAATAAAATAGTAAATCACTGTAAATGACCTTGCCTACTCACTAACAGCAAGGAACCAGTGTGTGATTGCACCTTGTGATTACCAATTCAATTTAAACAGTCCCCCTCATTCCCCAATATCACTGAGAGAAACCAGCATGCCTGAGGTTAATTTTTACATCAACATTCCCTATGGAGTCCCATTGAGGTGATGGAATGTCACTGCATGACTTTCAGTTTCCAATTATATGTATTTTCTAGTGAAAAATACGCTGCTGTCAGCCAAGAACAGGATGGACCCATCCTCAATAACCCAATGCAATGGATGGCAATGCCAATGGGAAAGGGGGCAGGGAGAACTCCCATGGCAGGCTCTGCAGGCTGTGACTGCTCAAGCAGGTTGCAAAAAAATGCTGACATAAAAGTCAGCACAAAGGGCTCATAGGTGGCCTTTATTTCAAACAACTGTGCCACTTGAGTGCATCACCTGAGAGTGTTAATTAAAAGGGTGTGAAGGCTCCTTGGTTTAGCCAGACCAGCATGGGGAAGGGCATATACACAGCTCAGCATGAAGGATTATACAAAGTGAGTAACTAACAGAGGTTTTCTGAAGGTAGCAATGGGCTTTAGCTGCTTTCAACCCACATATTGCTTTCTTACAACTGGGAGTGCCCACCATCCTAATGGTGAGTGCATTCCAGCCATCAGCAATGCAGATCAAGTCAGCATTAGGGTAACAATGTGTGGCTTTGATTCGTACAGGCACAAGCTGACTGTGAACCAGGTAACACACGGGCTCGAAGGATGCCACAGGCTGGAATAACTGACTGGCATGGACCAGCTACTTCTGACTCTGGCTCCCATGTTTGTTTTGTCACAAAAAAGGGATAAACTTGATCTCAATGCCATTTTTTATTCACCAGATAGAAAGAATGTACAGACCAACAGAAGAAGTACATCTTCAACTGATATAACTTTTTATCAACTTGAATGTGACATGTTTCAGCACAAAGGGGTCTTCTCTTGGTTTATGGATAGCCTGTCGATTCCCAATCCTGCTTGCCCCTAAAGAGAACTACATTTCCACTTATGCACAGAACAGCGTGATTTTAAATTTAATAATGTCAATCTTCTCCTTCCATTTTTTATTAGTACCTTAACTGAATAAATTGCACTTCCAAATGCACAGATATATAGCACCACCCCCAGATCTGCATTGGCACCACCAGTTCTCTGTACAGCAGCTGTTCACTATTTCATTAGTGTTACAGCTAACACACTTTGCTCAGTCTTGGCTCATGCAGTGTGGAGAGCCAGGACATTCGGCACATCTGTCTGCTGTTAACAAAGATACAGAGGAGAAGGAAGAGCACATGCACAACACATCTGGTTACAATTTAGCATCAACATGAATGGCAATGAATGGGTCTTCATCTTCATTCCCAATCAGGAAATTAGCCATGCCATCAGCAGCAACATGAACTTCAACTGCTGTACAGAAGTCACCTTCCTTTTGCCCAGAAATGACATCACAGTAAGTGCCAGCAGGCAGACCGGTCTGCAGAGATACATTCAAGGACCTTTGGAAAAGAACAAAGTGCTGTAAGCATTATGAGGACTCTAAAATGCTCTTTAGATCATACTGGAGACATCAGATGTTAGATAATTCTGGAGTTATCCTCTATCCCTTCTCTGGACACTGCAGAATCTATTCAATCACTACATACTTCAAGCTCCTCATCACCACAATCTACAGCTAATTATTAGAGCCCCGACATACTCCCGTTCTCGTATCTCATTCTTGCATAAAAGAGTCCAATACAGTTTTTAAAACTGTCACATTTGGAACATATTCCCAAATTTACAAGTTCCCTCACTTCTATAAAATTAGACTTTGCTGGCTGACCAGGCCCAGTGACACAGCCAGCTTCAGGACTGGGAAATAGTAAAAGGCCTGAACTGCCAAGAGTGAAGAGTGTCTATGCTAAATATAAATTGTCAACAACTAGGGCATCCATTAGAAGTATCTATTCAAGCTAACAACACCTGTAAAGGTTTCATTACTAACTAGAATTTTTAAATGCATATTTAATAAATAATAATTTATTTTTAATTGTAATAAATTATAATTTATTTCCCTCCTACTCACCAGTCATCATTATTGAAGATGATGAAGCCTTTATTACCACGGCCAAAAGCCACTTGATTGCTGCCATTGTCCCACCAGTTGGAGAAAGGCTCACCATCCACCACGTTACGGAAGATAACCATGTTCCTGAAAACACAAGCAATGTCTGTCACTGCACCTGCAGCAGCTCTAAAGCCACGTGGAGCAGGAAGCAGAAGCAAGCGCTTTTACATCTTGTTTCTGCCCAGTGCCCTACCTGATCTGACGCCAGCGATGTTCACAAACCCAGTTGTTGCCGCAGGTCGTGTCCTCGTTGATTGTAACAGGCTTTGTGGAGCCATCCGCGTTACTTGGGGGCCCAACCCAGTCATTGATATCCTGTCATTAAAAAGACAGCTTTATCTCTTCTGACTGAAAATGCAGAGAGCCCCTCTGGAGAGCAAAGCCAGAGGGAGCATCACAGTTCCACTGGCTACATCCAGCATGGCACAGGGAAATCACCTGACAAACTGAAATGCACTGCACTACTTCTCTGGCCCTCTTCTAACCCTTTATCCCCATGGATGGGTCTTCAGCATTAATAGCTCACCTTTCCATTTTCAAAATATCTTGGCCAGCGGAAACTTGACATCACACGGGTGAACCCGTACGGGTGGGCAAGCATGAAACCAGACGCCATTTTATAGAGCCTGTTTGGTGGACAAACAAGGAGTGAGACATGGAAGGAGGAACCTGCCAGAGAACACACAGACAAACAAGCAAAAGCAAGAAGCATCGCCCAGACAAGAGCAATCCCGTACCTGGCATCCCAGAAGGTGAGAATAGAAGCTCCACCAGCCCCGTGTCCTCTCTGGTTGTCGTGGTTATCCACAAAGACCAGGGCTCTGTCGGAAGGCACAAAGCCCCAGCCTTCTCCCCAGTTCCTAAACAAAAGCACAGACTTGAAGCTACCCTGTCAATTGGTGTATCCAGTGAATCCTGGATAAGTTGCAGCATCTTCACCCTTACTTTAAGTAGGCCATCTTTTCTCCGTTCCACTTGCGGATCACTGTCCCCAGCTTGGCACCGTATTTGAATTCTGTCACTCGGCCATTTCCAAAGTATTCGCTGCCTTTGATGGGCTCTCCACCCAAGTCAATTACCTGGCACAGGAAAGCAAACCTGCATCCCTTCTTGTCTTACAAATACCAACAATGCAAAGTACAAAACTCAGCATGACTTCTTGCTTTACATTGAGAAGAAATTATTTATGTAGCTGTGCTGTGTAGATCAGCACAAAGTCAGTATAAGACATGAGAGACACAAATAAAAACATGAAAGAAGAAAGGTAAATTTGATTGACAATCTGTTGTGGAGGCATTTTTAAGAATCAAAACTACCTATGTCTGCAGGGCTCCTCTAAGTAAATTGTGAGCTCCTTCTAGGGTAAATTGGATGAAGATGTATTGTTGTTCCTCTGAAGGAGGAGGCAAAAAAGATACAAAAGACAAAGGCAAACATAAATGAAAAAACGTGGAGATTACCTCCTGGTATATGAAAGGTTTAGTTCCTTCAGAAAACCATCGAGTATTTAGATTATTCAGCTTGTCCAGAAATGCTTTTATGTCCCCAGGCCACATGTGCTTGGCAGCATCAAGTCGGAATCCTGCTACACCAATGTCAATGAGATAGTTCAGGTACTCTGCAATCTTTGAGCGCACATAGTCCTTCTCCAAGGCCAGATCCAGGAGGCTGGTCAAGCGGCAGTCCCGGACCTATGCAACAGAAAAGAAAATAATAAAGATATCTGTGTATTACACCAAAGGAGGAGTGGAGGTGGGGTAGTAGTTAATGATGTTGTATTGGACTGGGAAGAAGGAAGGGAGTGATATCCAGAGTAAAGGCTTTTGTCTTTACAAGTCTCCATTGCACATGATAAAGCCCTACTGTCCTGAAGACAGCTCAACACCTGCCTTCCAATGGGAAGTGGTGAATAAATTCTTGTTTTACTTTGCCTATATGTGTGGTTTTCTTTTTACCTATTAAATTGTCTTTATCTCAATCCATGAGTTTTCTCGGTTTTACTCTTCCAATTCTCTGCCCCATCCCACTGAAAGCAGGAGGCTGAGTGGTGTTTAGCTGCTGGCTGAGTTAAACCACAAGTCCTCTTTGGTGCCCAGCATAGGACCCAAAGGGTTTGAATTACCGATGGCTATGATTAACGTGCTCGATGGAATTTATAGCTGTTATTGCTGTTTGGCTAACAGGTGACAGGCTCCTGTGCTTGCCGTGGGGCTCGCTGGGCTCACTGTGCACTCGAGCCCAGGGCTGATGAGTGGCTCTTTGTGCTGCGGCTGCAGCTGCAGCCCGTGCTGCTGATCCGCTCCCTCCGGGCCGGTCTGATCCCGGCGCTGCCCATGGCCTGGGCTGGCACCTGGCGCTGCTGCTCCTGTGCCGCTGTCCCGGACACGCTGCAGCTCCGCTGTGCGCTCGAGCCACAGGGACGGTGCCCTGGGGTGGCTCCACGGTGGCACAGGTACGTCTGGGACAGTTTCTGGCCACGGAAAAGTCCACAGTGGAGCGGGCACGTCTGGAAGTGCCCGTGGCCGGGGCTGTCCGTGCCACAGCAGGGGCAGCCCTGAAGGCTCGGGGCCCAAGGACAGGCCCGTGCTGCAGCAGGTACAGCTTGAAGCACCGGGGGCTGCTCATGAGGCCGTGCTGGAGCACCTGGAAGTGCGTGGCCATGGATAAACCCCCAGCGGAGCAGGAACACCCTGCAGGGCCTGCAGCCGGGCCGAGGCTCTGTTGGGCGGGTTTGCTTTCTGAGGGGACGGCGGCTGTGGGTGAGGCCGTGATGCAGCAGATCTGTCTCTGAGCCACTGAGGCCCATGGACCGGGCCGTGCTGCAGCAGATCTGTCTCTGAGGGCACTGAGGCCCATGGACAGGGCCGTGCTGCAGCAGATCTGTCTCTGAGGCACTGAGGCCCATGGACAGGGCCGTGCTGCAGCAGATCTGTCTCTGAGGCACTGAGGCCCATGGACAGGGCCGTGCTGCAGCAGATCTGTCTCAGAGGCACTGAGGCCCATGGACAGGGCCGTGCTGCAGCAGATCTGTCTCTGAGGGCACTGAGGCCCATGGACAGGGCCGTGCTGGAACAGCCGCCCCTCAGAGCCCCTGTGGCTGTGGATAAATCCATGGAGCCGCAGGTGTGTTCCTGAAGAGCCCGTGGCTCACAGAAATGCCTGCACTTGGGGCACATACAGCCCTGAGGAACTGCAGTCCCTGGGTAAACCCGAGCCAGAGCAGGGGAAAGGGGAGGTTCATTGCAACATTAATAATGAGGGTCTAGTCCAAAGGAATGGGGAGTGGACATTGTAATGGAAATAGCTTTAAGTTGTTGAACTGTATTTTATTTATTACTGTGGAAGAAACCACCTGAACCAAAGGAGGACAAGCCTTACATGAAGCAGCCCAATTGCTTAGTTGCCAACTGGGGTTAAACCATGACAATCTCAAAGGGTGAAGAATGGAATGAGAATTTTGTCCACATCCATCATCCACATCCATGGGCAAGATGTGGCAAGAGGTACTACTGTCAGCTCATTGGTTCATACATTACTTGCACTAATACTGGGGCAGTAGCATACTGTTCTGTGTAATACCATTGTCCCTCTTGGAAGTCAGATTTTACTAAGGAGAAAAAACCTCTCCTCCCTGTGCAGTGCCAGTTCTGTGCATTAGAGCTGGAGTGCCACTGAGCAGGCACAGAGAGCAGGACTTGGACAAGTAGTATGTACCACTTATTTATTAATTTTATCTTTTTATCACTTCTCTCTACTCTTTAATTGGTGAGTCTACATTTTTTATTTTACCTCCTTGTGCTCCATTTCCCAATCTTTTTTTCTCTACTGTTATTTCCTCTGGGATTTTTTCCTGTTATTTTCTGGGATTTTTTTTCACATTTTTGAAGCAAGAAATACATCAAAGATGCTTTGAGTTTGAAGGGAACTTTAAAACACATAGTCTTTAAGGGACTTCTGGGCTGATGTGGATTCACTTATTTCTTTGATGAGGAGGATGGCGTGGGCCCAGAGCACCTGGCTGGTCAGACAGCCTTGGCAAGCAGGGCAGGTGCTGTCCTCAGCAAAAACCAGTAGGAGCCTGGTGGGAGCTACTCACTGGAGCTAAAAAAGGCACCCCAATCTCATAACTAACCACTGCCACTATTCCTCTGCCTCACTGATGGAAACAGAAATACTTTAAACATAATCTGAAATTTTCCCAAGCCTCGGTATTTGGTAGGTGAACAAGAGAAATCTGTGAATGATAGAAGGCCCACAGTAAGAGGCATGTTCTTAGTAGTGTCTTACTAGCAAGCAGCATGGAGGTGAGTGATGGTGACTTTCAAAAGCTGTATGGAAACCATGATGCAGTTTCCCTGGTAGGGCAGTACCATGAAAACCAATCTTGTGAGCTAGGGAGAGGGAAATCAGGAGGTGGTGATTCCCAGTGCACTCCCCAGGAGCTAGCACAGAGGCAGGAGTGTGAGCGAGCATCCCACTGCAAACACACGTGCTCTTGCACCCTTCTAGGAGTTTACCATGCCACCAAATTATCCTCTTAATAGAAAGGAAATGCTAAAAGTGAGTGCAGCCATGTGCAAGCATCCCTGAAAGACATGGCCTGCTGGCACTTCTTTAAATCTGGCATTTAAAATTGCTCAGACAGATGGAATGAAAGTATGTAATAAAATGTGACATTTTATTTTATCATCTATATTCGTTAAGTGAATTCTTCTGATCTTTCCCACTTCCAGTAGCACAGAGTGTGAGTCAGATTCTGACAATTTGCAGTTTGCAAAAACCAACTCCAGGGGTCAGTCAGAAAAACAATAAGTAATAATTAATTACAGGATAGACATTCATCCACAGAATCTGGCAGTGGTGTGTGACAGCTCCTCCTAACAGAAAAAAGAACATGATTCCAAAAAGTCACAGCTTTATAGGCAGTAATTTGCAGACTACTTCTCAGTGCCATTTGTCTACTTTTTGGTCTTCCTTGTATATATTTCTAAGTATCAAGGTTTTACTAGGAATTCAGAAGAAAAAAAAATTATTTGTTTTCCTCTGTCTTCTAACGTAGTTGCTTTGTCTGCTTTGGTGTGTAACACAGTACCTCCCCTTGGTCCTCTTCAAAGCACAGCTCCCTTAGACACATGTTGTCTCACCCTCTCAGTGCTTCTCTCCCTGCTGCCCTGGACACAGTCCTGGAGCCTCTGCAGAGCACAGGAATGGCTGGCTGCTCTCAGACTGCAGCAGATTGCCACACGCATTTCACTTCCAATTTTGTTGCTCAAGAGGAGCAAACCCTGAGGGTCAGCATTCTCAGCTTAGCATTACTAATCAAAGGAGGAGATGGAAAACTGACATAAGCACAGACCAAGCCCTGATGCTTTGAAAGATTGCCCCCATCCCTCCTTTTACGATTCGGTCAGGGACCTCAGCAGCCATTATATCGCTTAATGTTCATTTAGTGCTACCTTGGGAATATTAAGCAGTAAATGATTGAACTTTTAATTTGAAATTAAATTAAAAGCAACCTTCTCACTGCAAGAGAAATGTCATTGAGAACTAACTTCTGACAGTATTTTGCAAACAGCTTTACTGTAGTTTATAGGTAACACTTTTATAGGGCGTAGCCCTGAGTTTGCAGTGAGTATTTGCTTCTGCTACAAATGCAAATAGCCTGCACATTAAGACATAGCAAAAATATCTGTGCAGAGGTAAATACTAATTCCACTGTGGTAGCAAGTAGGAGTTCCAGCTTCAGGGCAGAAGCTGCTGTGTTCATGCTTTCTCAACAAAACCGAAACATACCTGAGCCTTGAAAGCTGACAATCTAAGGATTGCAGTGTTTACACAGGTGCTTACACAAATGACTGGAAACAACTATAAACTACTAAAACTTGTCACGTTTTTATTTCTGGCACCAGTTTTTCAATCAGGAAGCCAAAGCAGCCAAGAAAGCACTGCCACCTGCTTATGAGTTGTAGAAATGTGACCTCCTGATCTCACCAGGTTTCAAACTCCTGAAAGCTCAGCCTCTCACTCCCCAGAGCGTGGTATCCCTTATCTGTGTAAACAGAGAGAGGTCACAACACCCTGGCTGCTACAGGTGGCTGAAAAATACATGGCTGAATATAAGTGAAACCTCTGGTTTATATGTCTTCAGTCCAGGATCAGTGCTGCAAGGGAAACCCCAGCACTGTTGTTGCACTTTATATCAGCGCTATCTCTGGCTATGTAGAATCATAGAACCCTAGAATGATTTGGGTTGGAAGAAATCTTAAAGATCATCAAGTTCCAGCTCCTCTGCAATAGCAGGGACACCTTCCACTAGACCATGGTTCCTAACCAACCTCGCCTGGAACACTTCCAGGAATGGGGCATCCACAACTTCTTTGGGCAACCTATTCCAGGGCCTCACTGCCCTCACAGAGAAGAATGTAAATTGTGAACTTTTAAGAAACTTGTCACTTGGTGTAACCTATGCTGTTTGATGGTGCTGAGGAGCAAAGGCAGTAAGTGAATGAAGAGAGCATGACAGCCCATTGACTCTCAAGTCCTTCATTTCCAAGCAGCCTAAAAAATATTCACTTATTTGGTGGGTATTTTCTTCTACATCAGAACTTGTGAAGTGAACGTTGAGGAGCATTTTCAAGAAGCCAGTTGCAGGTGGGGACATCTTGAGCCAGTGCACTAAACATTGCATAGGAAGAAGAGCTTCCATCAGGGGATGGTTGGATGAAAGTTGGTTTTGTCACTTGGGTTTTTGGTTGCACCTCTGGACAATACACAGACTAAGAATTATTTGCAAAAATTATTCAGCAATACATTTCAAATAATGAATATTTCAAGTGAATTATTACGGACTATACTTGAATAGGGAAAGAAAAATAGTTGATGAATTATTCATGCAGCTTTAGCACTGATGTAATAAATATTACATGGTGTCAGAGGGAAATGAAGAATTTTGAAATGAAGAAAGAAATTAACTATGAAGGAAAAGCACCTGAAAACTGGAGAAGGTGAATACAAAGATTTGAATTATGTGAATAATAATGAAGAGACTTAACGGGGGAAATAAAAAGGGTGACAACTCTGAGTCACATCAAGAGGCAAAATACTCTTCGTCTTTAATTCTTTCTCTACAGAGAATACACAAACTTCCCAAACCTCCTTCAGCTCTGTCTAAAAACAAAATGAGGGAAACAAAAGAAGACCCCCTAGAGTCAGCCAGGTGGGAACATATCTAGATCTGGCTAAGGGAGTTACATGATCAGAGGTGCTGATTTACAAAAGGGCTGTAATATTTGGAGAAAAATGCCATTTTTAATATCAAATAATGTCTTATTTATTTTGCAAAGTGACTTTTATCAACAGCTTAATACTGAAGAAGGACAACAGGATTGTGTATTAAGGAAAGAATCCATAAGGCTTTTTTTTGTGCTTTGGGTACACATTCAGCAGCTTTAGCTGCTATGCCACTGATGACATCTGAATGGTCAGTCAGACCTGCTTTGACATACTGCATCAAGGAGCAACAATGTTAATTCCAGGTTTGCTCTTCTGCTCAGATGTAGTGTGTACAGATTCTCATTAGTCTCATCAGTTGCCTCTTCATTTTAATATTCAAAAAACCCCATTTTTTTAGATTCTATTTTTGTGTGAGAGAGGAATTTAACTTTCTTTTTCTTCCAAATGCGTTCCAATTGACCTCTCTTTTACAACAGTAAGTAGAAAACAGGAGAGAAGAAAGAAGCTGAAAAACCCTGTTGTATTCAAAACAGATTCTGAAACAAATTTTTTTTTAAAATAGAAATGGGGACATATTACACATTGTCCTGTTGACAATGGACTTGGGCTTCTTTTAACCTCAGGAGTAACATATTAAAATGAAATGTTTTACATTCGTCATTTCCGTAAATGTCTCATTTACAAAATCTGTCATGGGCACACCAGTTGCCTCCTCATTGGACATTTACCAACCTTGGCATATCAATCCATCTCTTGCACATCTGCTCAGAAAATGTAATTAGTTATACCCATATGCTGCAGAAGTACATGATAAAAGTTAAGAAATAGAAAAGGCCGAGAGACTTGACAGCCTTTCTCCTTCCTACTATGCATATTTCATTGAAGACTTAGGAAACTGAGAAGCTTTTCTTGCCCTCTACCACAGGGTGGGGGTATCACCGTGTCCTAAGCAGCTTCCAGAGATAAGGCAAAGCAATGTATAGTTTATTCTAATAGTGATCACTTTGAAACAATAATTTACAGTTTAAAAATACACAGTATTCCCCAAACAGGGACACCTTCTTCCCCTGATACTATGAACATATCCTTGCAAGGAAGTATTAGATAAGATGGACAGGGAGTCTCATCAGAAGTTTTGACGTGGGAGTCCAAGATGAGAAGCTCTCACTATACCAAATGGCATTCATAGCAGATATGGAAACTCTCTGTTGATCAGCTTTTTGTCAGCTCTGCTCAAGTTTGCTGGCAAGTGGCAAAGGAGAGAGGACTTACAATCCAAAATGGAGCTCTGCCTCAGCAACTGAAAGTTGGCTCAATGGCATCTTTGTGCCACTGGCTTGTGGGTAGAACTATTCCATGTGCAGCAGTGTTTAGCCCCTACATCAAGTGGACATGTCTCTGCAAAAGGGATGAGCAGAGGGATGATGTAACTCCCTTGGACTTCATTCAGGATCCTTTTTTTCACTAGACAGTAGTAATTATCTTGCTGCAGATACGGAAACAGAGCTGTTACAACTGTGATTTATCCATTGATCCAGCTTGTTCAAAGTTCACCCCAAAGACTGACATATATTCTGGACAGTTCCATCTCCATGGCAAGGGATTTGCAGCTTTTCTCAAAATCTGTTGTAATGAAACATTAATTAGGTTTTGCACTGATAGTACATTATCAACCTCACTTGCTGGCATGTTTAAAACCCAAGATTATATTTTAATTCTCAAGAGATCTGAGCTTTCAACAGGACCTCACAGTGTGGGTCAGAAGCCACTGGTCACTAGTTAAATAATACAGAACACAACGAATTCTGAAAAGACTGAATTCTGTCAACTCTGTTTTCATGTTTCTTACTGAAATCCAAAACAATGTGTCACTGTTCACTACATGAACAAAGTCATGGTGATGTAGCTTTACAGAAACTCCATTTTAAGTTCATCTCTGACATACTACATTTAGTTGTGTATGTTGTTTAATGTCTATACATTTTTCTTAAAAAAAAAATAAACCCACTTTCAAATTATTAGCATTCTTTTACTTCAGTAGGGGGTTCAAAATCAAAGCTGCTGCACCTCCAGGCTCCCCCTATTCTTTTATGATTAACTGGGAAAAAAGAAAAGCTCTCATAGAGACTTGGCTTTCTTTATAAACTGGCTATTTTAAGATCTGTTTACAAGATGACAATATGAAACATCATTCAAAAACAGTGTGAATTGATTACATTCTTCTGAAGAACATGTAGCAGTAGAATATGCATTTGTAGCTGTTACACTGCCCTATAATTAAGACTTTATTGCTTCCCTTCTAAACACTTTGCTGCTGCTGAAGAACAGCTGAGATAATTTATATGAAACAATGGAAAATGCTACTCCCTCCCCCAGAAAATCACTTTCCAACCTTTTAGAAAAAGGTGGCAGAAAGACTGTGGTCACTGCCAAATATAGGAGTAAGTCAAGATACTAATTATAGTTTTCTGCTCCTATTTCTTTTCAATGAGCAAATTCTCCCCAAATACAAATAATTTGAATGTTGATCAGTTGGGAGACAGTCTTTGACTCTTCATTCATTTCCATGGATCCTGGATCAGAGCATGGTGATGGTGTGGTCAGCAATCATATTGAGAATGTTCATGTATCTCAGAATGAATGAACAAACCACAAAACCCAAGAGGCACCATATAAATACATTTGAATGCTTAGAATTACTCAGAGACTAATTTCTGCTCTGATCTTACTTTTTTTTTAAACTAAAACGAATACTAATAACTTAATAAAATAGCTGTACCACAAATAATGAATTAGAACAGTCTAACATCTGGAGCCATGCTATTGGAGAGGAACTCCAAAGGAAAAATCTTCAAAACCCTGAAGAAATACTTTTGATAAATGAGACTACATATTACAAAGCAGAGATGAAATACTAAGATTTTCCATAAAGGTCTTCCACAAGACAAATGCTTCTAAGGGAAAGTGAACATATATAGCAATAGCATTGATGAGCTTTGTCAAATTGCAGATGATTTTCTAGGCATGGAAGCCAGAATTCCCATGGCAACCCTCACAAACTTCACATACACATTCAGTGTAGGTAGCAAGCCATATAATGTAGGAACGTTTCAAGTTAAGGGTTAAAAACTAAGCTAAATATAATTTAAACCATGAAAGCAAATATCCTTCTAATTGTATCCAAGGTATTTCTTTCTTTTCATCCTATTTTCTGATCTTCTATATTCTGAAATCTATGTCTAGATTGCAATCCAAGTGACAGATGCCAGTTATCTTTGTGCCACTCCCAGAACCTGAGTAAGAGACAAAGTGCAGTTCCTCCTGTTGCTGCTCAGCATCTCTCAGCAGTGGGGTGGCCAGGAGAAAAGCAGTTACCCTTGCCCAGCGTGTGCCTGGCTCCCAGCCCTGCATGCCTGCTTGTGCCACCTCCTCAGTCCGGGCATTGTGCACTGTCCCAGCATGGCTCTGGAAGTCCTTACTAAACCTGGGCCAGGTGCTCAGCGCTTGAGCAGGAACCAGGGGCAGAAATGGCTTTACAGCCCTTATGGGAAGGGGGAAAAATGGGTAAAAAATGCCAGGGGTGGTGTCTCTGTGTTGTAACCAGATAGGTTTTTTGTTTGGTTGCAAGAACCTGGCTGAGACTTGCCAGGTTGACCCAGTACTGCCATTCTGTATTAGATACTCTGGATAGGGTTGGTGATCATTTGTACTGAGAGGGTCTCTGCTTCTGCAAAAACTCACACATGAAGCAAAGGCTAATAGAAATAAAATGTTCTAGGTTCAGCTTTTGCAGAAGTATATTTTTTCATTTGATGTACCCATATGTGAGAAAATGAGGCACAACTGTATTTGTAGAATTAAAATTATTTTTAACAATGGCATGTCACAGTGCACAATCATCATCAGATTAGAAATGAGTAGAATTTTCTGCTTTAGCGCCTCCTCTTTTATACTTCTCTATTAATTTTCTTTCCTACAACAAGATGGTAACAAAACAGGTGCAATCATAGGAACAAAGGAACATCTGGAATGCACCAATAAATACTGAATAACTTATTTTACAATGTTAAGCTGTCATAATTAATTCACTTATAAAATTTGTCCTGTCCTGTCAGTGAATGAACACAGTCTCTGAAGAGCTATTCTTATTTAGGTATCTTCTCTCAAACCAAATTACAAATCTTTTTGTAACCTTGCATTAGATTTACTTTTGTATCAGCTGAGTACCTGCCAGGTTATTTTGTTTATTGCAAAAGGTATTGCTGATGGACAAAAGCAGGAGAGGATGTACTGAATTTTAATAATGTTTCTCTTAATAATATAATTACTGTCAATTTCCACTCTATTTCATAGACTCCTAAAATATTTTCTAGGTTTAAAAGGACCCTCAGAAACTTCCCTCTTTAACCTTTTATTAGATAGAAAATTTGGACTCTTGTGCTGTGTTATTGAAGAATCAAGCAGTGAAAAGAGATGGAAAAGCAGTAGTGATTCTGAAACTCCAGTGAGCTGCTGCTCCTTTACAGACCCTGCCAGCCTTAAGGGCTCAGTACCAGCTTTGTCAGGCCCCAGCAATTCTTACAGGCTCGTGGGCAGGAGGTCCTGATGTTCAGAGCAGCTCTGGCTTTGTCTTCTAACCTGACAAATAATGCAGTGTCAGAGTCTGAGTGTGAGAGTCTGAGAGTGGAGAAAAACAGAAGTGAGGAGCTTTGTGACAGTTGTACATGTACAGAGCACCTTGCTCAGTTCTCAGGGAGAAAATCATATTGTAACATTGCAGCTACTTATTTTTTGATTAAAGAAGTTAATTCAAAAAAGCAGTTCAGTTGCTCTTTGTGCTGCCATGGTGTTATAAAAATTATTTAAAGAACAGTCCCCACATCACATATTCACTATTGCTTTGATTCCAAGGAAGTTTGTTAGTTTGATAGTTTTAAGAGTTAATGACTTTCTGGTAACTTTTGGTTAAATATTAATGCAGACATAATAATGCTTATTCCTTAAGTAAACTTCTAAGCAATACAACTATCAAATGAATTATTCCTGCTGAAAAATCAGTCATGTCACAGTCTAGGTACAAAAATTTTAACCTCAAATAAGAATTTCTGCCTGTAGGAAAATGAATACAATGGGTTTTGATATTTTTTTTCCAATTATATTTTAGATAAGGACATTCTCTTACTGTTCTTAATTTCTTCAGTTGTGTATCTTACCTAAACCAGGATGTATCCTCACTTTTCAGGTCTCCAGAACCTCCCAAATCTGCTGAAAGTTTGTGTCTGTCCCTTTCAGGTTCAGGTGAGTTGCTGCCTCTCTGTTCGTCCCAGTGAGGCAGTGGCATCAATACTGAGGGCTGCATCCAAACAGTGGTGCAGCTTGAAAATGCAGCACAGTGGATTTTGTGAAGTTTATGGTTCATCATGTTGGCCAGGACTTCTTTCAATCACTCTGTAATCAGTAAGAAGCCTCTGTGGGATTGCATAGATAAGGCTTCTCTCTCTCCACAGTGATGGCAGGACTAGAGTAAAGATGATGGCTATGTGACATACAGCCAGTTAACAGCAGGTCCACACAAGTAAAAGCTGCAAAGCTATGAAGTGCTTTATGAATGTTTTGCTGTCCAGGTGCTTTCTGCAAAGGTTTTACAATCTCATCCTCTACTTACTCAAGTCAGTCACACAGCTGGCAGGTAGGAGCTCCTCCATTTGTTAGAAAAGGGGTTATTTAGCCATTTCCCTTGAGTAAATCTAAACCAGAGTAGCCTATTACACACACCTCTGTCCTCATCCATTCTTTATGAAGTTGCAAGGGACTATTTGTCCAAAATAGTGGGCAGTGCTGATAAGTGATATTAAAATATGATTTAGACATATGAAAGAAAACTACTTGATACTCCTCATGGCCTGCAAAGCTCCTGATCGAAGGTTGATTTCATGATTAATTTATGCCAGCACTATCCCTATTTTAGTGATACTAGAAGTGATATCCTGCCCGTAGCCATCAGGTAAATGAAAATAATTCAATACATAGCACACAAATCTTTTTGAATGGTCACTATTTTAGGCATAGGCAGAAGCAGAGGCAGAAGAACCTGTATTTATTTCTTTTTTCTCTGGACATGCAGGTTGCCATAGATCAGTTGTGAAGTGACAGAGTCTGTTATCAGGCAACCCTTTAAAATGATTCAGTGCTTAGGGCCACTGATTTCTTACCTACATCCCTGTTTCACCTTTACTGGCAGGAATTTGCTCTGGTGACATCTCCCCTGTTAGGTACCAGAGAAGGTTTTTATTCTTTCCTTTTCATATGTTTTCAGTTTAATGAGAGAGAGAGATGCACTGTTTATAGGCCCTAGATATGAACCACTGACATACACAGAGGCAGCATAAAATTCCAGTAAGAGGCAGACTGATTTTCAGTAATCAAATAGTTTAAGCACTTCCTAATCATAAGCCTAAGGAAGGTAAGACTCAATAAAAGAAAAATCTTTGGAAATAAGTCTAAATATGCAATAGACTTTCTAAAGTTGTAAGTTTCAGAAATATTTGCATGAAAAAAAAGGACAATGTTTTATTGTATTTAACAATAGACCTTATTTTACATGATGACAGAGCTACTAAAAAAAATCAGGAAAATAAATACATGGTCACAAGAAGTGACCTCTATAAAACTGACTGCTAAAGTTTTTCCCCCATAAGCAATGGGCTAAGAGAAAAATACATGAAAAATAAATATAATAAATAAATAAATATAATAAATGAATAAAATGTAATATAATGAATATAATGAACATTTCTACCAAGAATGCAAACTGTTCAGTGGTGCTTCTGATTTCCAGTTGTCTCAGGTAACAATGTTCTAGTCCAGCAGAATATGCAGGTAAAATCAATGCAACACACATTGGCACACCCCATCTCAGCTAACCAGACATTGTATGTCCTTAGAGGTGCCTGAATTAGCAGCATGGTAGTAATTTTTGCTTACACTCAAGTACTTCTATCCTTCCAGTAAGCCTATTCAAACTCAAAACCTTGAACCTCCACTTGTCTGGTATTCAGAGTGTTACTGCTGTCTGTCTTGTTGCAATCCTGTTTATAGAACTGTACACTACAGAGAGATTAGGAGCTAAAAACAGCAGGCTAAATTGAGTATTAATAAATGCAAATAAATGCTCACTGGGGAAAAGCCAATTCTCCTATATATACACACTGATGGATATTAAATTATTCAGTAACCTTCAGAATAGCTCTGTGGACAGTTCTGTGGAATGGCAGCTCAGCATTCAGTGGTACTTCAAAAAATAAATTAAGAATATGATGACAAAAATCAAAGCATAATTATGACAACATGTACATTTCTGGTGTGTCTGCATTTTGAACACTGGTTGCAGCAGAACTAGAAGATACATAGAAAAGCAGTAAGAATGAGCACAGATATGAAGTGCCTTTTGTACAATATGGTATTAAGCTCTGGCTTTTCCTCTGGGAAAACAGGCAGTACTTGGGAAACACACTAGGAGTCTGTAAATTCTTGAGTGGCACAGGGAAGACAAATAGGAAACAGTTGTTCATCTCTTCTCACAGTTTAACAGGCAGAAGGCATTACCTGAAGTTGTTGGGCAGCTGGTTTAGGAAATCACAAAATTAACTGATTTTTCCTACATACAAATTGTGGAATTCATTGATATTCAGCATGGAAAATCCTATGAGTTTAGATGGAAAAAAAAAAAAAAAGGGAAAACCATTAAGGCTATTAAGCACATTGATAGAAGCTGTCATGTTAAAAAACATCATCAGGAAGGTACAGGGGAAAAGAGCACAGTTCTTCCCTGCCTCTGGCAAGGATCCACTGCCATGACTGGAGAACACCCTGTGAGGCTTCTTCAGCACTGCACTGGCCTCCTAGCACAGACTCACCTTGCATGGGGAGTTGTCCAGACTGGGAGAGATGCGTGCTCCCTGCAGGATTTCAGGAGCATCTTAACTGACACTTCATAGATGAAAAAAAACAAAACAAAAAGAGCTGAGCTTTCACTACTACTTCATGGGGGCAGCATGAGAGCACTTTTCCTACCATTGCTGAAAAGGTCATGCTGATATTCCAGGTCTTGCAATATGCATTTTTTAAGATCAAAGCCACCAAATCCTTGCCCACCTTAGACAGGTCCACAGCCACCCAAGAGCAGCAGCCATGTGCTCTGGCATTGTCCCCTGCAGCCGTTAGGTGACTGACCAGAGCAAGCCCACAAAATGCAACCACAGAAGGTGCAGGTGATGGCTGAAGCCCTGCTCTTCTACAAGGCCAGAGCCCTGGTTAGGCTGTCTCTGATTCCTGCACCTCATTCTTTCCATGTAAAGCCTGTGGCTTTCTCAGACCTTAACCACCAGGGAGAACTGCAGAAACTACAGCTGCAGACTGGAGGACCTTTTGGGTGGAATCATTCAGTGAGTGGAAGACTTTAATGCATATTGCATGAGTGAATCAGCTGATCATTTTAATGCAAACCTCTTATTTTATTAACCCCTTCTCTTCCACATTGACTGTCTAGAGAGGAAAGAAGTTAAGGATTACAGGAGGGTCAGCCATGGGAGCAGAGTTTCACCCTACAAATTCCACATGGAAGTTCTTGTGTTGGCAGATCAGTGCTGTGACTAATGGTATCACTGTACGAACAGTGTTTCATGAACTGTCACTTTTTTCTTTATCCTTTAAAAAATGTCGAAGATTTCTAATAAACATATAAATACTGCAAACTGAAAACTAAATAGCAACCCTTTAAAGCAGCATTAATCTCACAGAACATGTTTGGCATCTTTATGTCCTATGTTGCCATTGGGCAACTAGCAAGATCTATTAAAATACTCCTAAAGTCCTAGTCCTTGAGGACTATGTGATGTAATTCTACAAGAAATTACTCAAGAAAGTGAATCTAAAAAGCATGCTAAAATACCAAAATACTTCTAAAAAAGACTAGGATACAGACTGATGGCAAATTTTCCTTATTCAACTTTTTATTAAAATGGAGCTATTTTTACATATTTAAAATACTTCATATCAAAATTACACAATATTTATGAAAACAATTATATGCAAATGCATAAAAATATGTAAAATCAGAGCTAAGCAATATAAAGCAATATATAGCACGTTTCAAAATGTATTTCAGGGCTAGAATACCTGAGTGTTCAATAAGCTGGTTTCTTGCATTTCACTGATTTTGACAATTAAGTTTAATAATGTATCCGATCTCATATAAAGCACTTTGGTTGGGAGAAACTGCATGGAAAAGGCAGTGATCAAGCAAAGATATTACTCAAGGCCTGTCTTCAGAATCCTCATCCACATGAAGATCCACTGTTTGAGATGTCAGGAAGGACTCCCATGTAGCAAGGCACTTAAAAAATCCAAAGACATACATATGAGCACAGCAGAGATTTCTGTAAACTGTTAGCCAAGGAGAAAATGAGTAAAACAACCAGCAGAATACATACACATTGTCACAAGCTGCTTTTGTACGTGAGATCAAAATAAGGTTTCCTAGGCAGCTCAGTGATATGCAAAATGTTAGCTAACATGCTGAGTGAGCTGTAAAGGTCAATTTTACATAATGACAAGCACACACTGTGAGCACTGTAATTGTATGTTGTAGCATGGAAGATGCTAACATTAATTATGCTCTTCTTTAATCTCTTCCTTTAGTTACAGGCAAAGATCTCTTCCAAATAGAAAGCACATTGTCGGGCACTGTTTCCTTGTAATCCCTGTGGATTCCTAATGTATACCAAATTTTCCTTCCAAGTTAAATTAAACCTTTTTTTTTTCCTAAATAAGGAGAGAATTCATTTTTCCCCAGAGTAGTGGGAAAGAAATAGAACCAGAAAGGGAGGGGCTGGTAGTAGGGAAATTGTTATCCTTACAAGTGGTATTTCTCAGCTTATGGAAAAATGCATTTACGATTATAAAAACTATTTTTTTTTATTTGAAGCATCAATTCTGCAGGCAGTAAAATGAAAAAAAAACAAAAAAAACCCAGAAACAAAACAAATAAAACCCCTAAATGACTTTGGCTCAATTTGGCTTAAATGAGTGTTGGCAGCTTGGCAAGCCATTTTAAATCATAAATTAGTGTTGAGAGCCATGGCAAGGCTATCACAAGGTATCCTGTAGTGCGTTGATCCTTGTTACCAAAAGCACCAGGTTTCTACTATTTCAAGTCTGCCAGTTGAACAGGACAGACAAATTGCTGAAATAATTTTCTTGTTCTGATGCTATTGAAAAAAAGCCCTTAGAATGGAAATGTTCTTACAAAATTTTGACTTATAAATTCATACCTATTGTTCTTGACAATGCATCCAATTTAGTACTTACTCTACACAGCTTTTTTTCATGAAGAAACCTTATTATGCACCATAAATCAGTCTTCTGAAATTTCCCAGGAAATATATATTAAAACCTGGACAGCACACTCTATTTACCTAAACTTTGAATTAAATAAGTGCCCTGAAAACAGCATTATTTCCTAACTGAAATCTTTTGCCATGGACTATTTAAGCCACAGCAACTTGCTAAGCCCGGCTCATTGAAACACCTCGTCTCCATCTGTCATTGCTTAGGAGATGTGGAAATGACCCTGCTTGAACTTGCAGCCACCTAACTCCATTAGACATTTCTTGTGAATGACTTCCAAACTCTGCCATTAAATATGGAGATTTAATCATACTACACTGAAGAGCTAGGTCCTGGTGCATGTCTGTGTGTAAGCAGATGAGTGGGAGGATCTGATAGTGTTAAATATAAGCTCAAAGAGAAAAACAAAGAATACACACAGAATGACTGGAGATTGGGGGAATCCATGATAACATGAGGATACAGAAACAGGGATACCCATAAAATTAAGGGTGACAAAAGTAACAAGAAAAAGAAAAAAAAAAGTCAGCAGTAGCTTTGTCTCTGAAGACATGAGAAAATAGAACATGTGGGTCTGCAAGACAATGAAAGCAGTTACAACAGCCAACTGAACTAAAAGATCACCAAGAAAAAGTATGAGCTTATTTTTGCACAGGTTTTTGGCTATTATCAGGCACGGTAGAGATCACTCCTGTTATCCACATTTTGCCCCATAGACTATGGATGCCATGATCTCTTCTGATCTTGCTGACAAAAGACCCAAGTAAATTCTGCTGCTATTGCACAGAACAACATTATGCTGCTGTTCAGAGTATATCTAAGATTTGAATTACTGTAAAAAGAGAGAACTAACAGGGTGAGATTCAAGTGGAAATTTGCTTTCTTCATTGACTTTTTGGAGAAATCTTATTTTGAAATGGTACACCAGGGAGAAACTGAAGATACTGCCAGCCTGAAGAGTGAACTGAAGTGTTGAAAACTGGTTTCTGATTTAAAAGGTCTTTTTGATCTTTTGTATAAAGCCTTTAAGTTTGATCATTAGATTCTCCCCTACTTCATGTGACACTGTGGCAGCTGAGTCTGTCTGAGAGGCTTGAGCTGGAACATGGCCTCTTGGTTTTGAAATGTCAGTGAGGCAGATGCTAGCAATGTGTCTTCACTGTAGCACTCAAATTCATCAATTTCTGTTAGAGCCCAGCCTGGATTACCACCCTAGAAAGCTGCAAGGTGCAGCTGTTGTTCTAATCTTTTTCTAGGTGTGGTACAAGAAAACATCATTTTTTCTTGAAGGGTCTTTCATTGGCAATGACATATTTTTTTCTGAGACACAGTTTGATTTAATTACCACATAAGTCCATGCTTTGTTATTCTGTAATTTCAGTAATGTGAATTAAAATACATGTATCAGCACTGGCTGCAATGTAAAAATGGCTTTGTGTTATCTTTTCAACACAGAGGCAAGCTGTACATGGTAAAATGCAATCACAATACACTGCTTAACCAGATAGATATGATCTACTGAAGTCTGTCCAGACAAAGATGCAAAGCATTTTTTTCTCAAACAAATTATTTGGCTTTTCATTTATCCCTGTTTATATAACCAAAACACATTTTTCAAAATGTAAGAGCAATGTTGGCTCATTTCACTGTCAGACATCACAGTGCTGCTACAGCTGACAAATTTTATAATTAACCACACCAAAACTAAACTAGGTCTCTGTGCCTTAGGCTCAAGCTTTTCATATTGTGAAGCATGAACTGCATAAACGACATTTTGTTAGTGATGTATACTTCAACGTTATTACAGAATGATTTTACTCCAGTCTCCTGGGAGGTTGAAAATGGAGATCTAAATAGAGGATCAGCCAGTTTTCACAAAGGAGACAGAAAGGAAAAAAAAACCCAGAAAATCCAAACTGAGGAAATTAAATGTGTTTGCCCAGGATTGAAATTCATAATCCAATTACTCGTAAAAGCCCAATGGAAAACATAAAAAAGCCTAAATACACAAAATGCAATAGCAGGAACTTAAATAAGGCTACTTTACCTAAAATATTCTGATTACTACTGGAGGACACATACCTATTCTGCAACATCATTCTTAGAAAAAGCAGCAAAAAGTTTTTCATATAGTACAATTGCATATATAATGAAAAAGGAGATATAAAAATGGAACATGTAGTAAGGATGCTAGCAGAAGCAGTTGTGTCACATGCCATGTTCCCAGTTATATGTGGCTGACACCTTAGAAACAGCACTTATGATGGCATTTTTTGGAGTAGAATCTGAAAATGGAGTCTTGTTTGTGTCTGAGAGAAACAAAAAATATTTTCATTATTTCTGTGTGCATGGAAACAAAAGTTAGACTGCACAGAAATAGTTATTCACACTCTAAAAAACGTCTTCCCAAAATTATTTTAAAAAAAATTTAAAGGCTGAAGTGAATGAGGGTTCAAAGATGGATCTGCCTTTGAAGTGAGATGCACAGGGACAAAGAGGCTCAGACAGGGGAGCTTTTGAAAATCTCCTGAAGTTTGGTAGCAGAACTCCCAAGCATGGGATGAGATCAACACGCAGGAGCAGCCAACTTTCTGCTACATGTCCAAATAACTGCTTCAATGCATCACTGCAGAGGCCTCTAGGGCAAATAACAAATCTCATCTATTTTCTGCAGCTTTTACAAAACTGAGAAGTACACAAGGGCTTTGGAGTTAGAGGCAAGTTACTGCAATAGGGAACAAGTATTGTTTTGCTCTAATGAATGTTTTGGATCAATTTATTCCTGTACAACAATGTAGGTCACAGAAATATACTAAATTGTACTTGAAATACTTAAGAAAATCAGGAAATTATTTATATACGTGAAAAATAGTAAGGTGTGCCAATACCAACAAGAATGTGACTACATCAAAGGTAACAGATTATCTGATTAAGATGCAAGGGATTAACAGGATTAATTTCACATGCAATAAATAAAATCAAATGCTGTACTTTAAAAGAAATGTTCATCCACGCTCAAGAAAAAACCACATTCTTTCAATGCCAAAACTAATTAGCAACCCAGATTAGGAAAAAACACCAATCTGCCTGCATTTCCTGGAGTACCCAACAAGCAGTGGAAACCCAAACTCTGGTATATTTGCTGGATTTACAATGTCTAACTAGTCTTTGCATTGGGCTGTAAAATCTAGCCACTTATTCTGGTGATTTTCCTGAAAAGAACAGGATATCAAAAATTCTTTGGCTGCATATATACTAGCTATACTAAACACATGAGAAAGAGGACAAATGTAGCATATGTTTAATTGCTTTTGCTCTTTGAAGCCAGAGTTCAATAGTGCCTGGTTTAGTTCTGCTAGTCTGCAGCAGCAACACTTCAAACCCGCCAGCTAAATAGCACTGCCAGCACCACCACTAACTGTATCCTGCTTTGGGTTTAGTAATGCTGCATCTTTAGAACATCTATTTCTAAATTAATGAAAATATTCATGGTGACAATCAGTTTCTCAGATGAAAGCTCCACCCTGTGGACAGTTTGTGATTCCAGCTGTTTGGCAGATACATCTTCTGGATTAAGCTATCAGACAATGGTGTCATGACTAAGGCCTGATGAAAAGGAATAAAATAAGTGGTATAGTGTTAACATGTGCTGAATAAATACTGTTTACTTCAGAATTAGGAGTACATTTATGAACTTCTAAAAATTAAAACCTTTTCATATTGTTTCAGAAAGTCCTCTTTATTTTAGCATTGTATTTACTCTCACTGTTAGTACTGTATTTTTTTGGACTTAGGATTTTGTGGAATATGGAGAGACTTAAGGATGTATTCAACTATTTTTCAGAGGAAAAGAAGTACAGAACTGTATGAACCACTGAGACCACCTACAGGAATACCAAATGACTGGTCAGTCATAGTAATTCTTGGCTCCTAATGATTTAAAATACATTATAACAAAGCTTGCGCATTGTCACTTGAAAGCTTTCATTTTCATAGGCCTGCACAGGAGCACTCTGTAAATCTGCAACACTGGGCTTTTATTCATGTCTTTGTTACCACAGCATTGAGAGACACAAAACAGCTATAGAAATAAAGGAACAATTCTTATTAGAGTATAATGAATGCAGATACCCAATGAACTGGAAGACTACAGGAATAACTCTTAAATTTATAAATCTGCAGAAACATAATTACAGGTAACACTTTTAGAGTAACACTTATGTGAGCAGTAATTCAGCTTAAGGAAGACATACTCTTTTACGCTAGCTAAGTGATGCTTGACAAGTTTGACAGCAGAATCCTTAGGCAACTACAATTAAGAAAAAACCCAAACAAATGTAATACTCTTTGCCCAAATTGTGACAAAGATTAAATGACATTTTAGAAATTTTACTGTACTTTGACATGCTGCTATGTTGTTTTTGACCACACTGGCTTGGGTTTGATACAGTTTTGAAGGACTGCATTCTCTACTGCAGCAGCCATCAGAAAATACAAAATGCCTGTCTCTCTGTGGTTCCCAAAATTTAAGGGAAGCAGAGAATGACCGTGAACATAAATGACTCCTTCTTTGGTTGTATGCCTGGGAAATGCAGTCAGCAAGAGGAATAATGAGAAGCACAGTGAAATGCTGCTGAAGAGAAGAGAATGGGACACTGCTTGTTGAGAGGCAAGAATAGTTTAACTGAGGGGTGGGGGAAGTTGTGGAAAGGATGAGAAGCAGGTAGACACAAAGTGAGAAAGCAGAAGATGATTCCTCATAGGAGTTGGATAGAAGAACTGGGCAACCGAATCACATTCATAGCAACCATGGTGCCTTGGAAAATGCACAGAACATGCTTTGGGGAACAGAAAAAGCAGGAAATAACATGAGGGATGTTAGAGCAAGAAGAGGCTTAGTAAGCATCAAATGGTGCATCAAAAGTCTGAATGAGTAACTTCAGACATGTGAAAGAATGCTAATGAAGCAAGTAATAATTAAACAAGCAAAAAACACTGTAACAGACTCTGTGTTTGTGCATGAGCTTAATGAGTCAGACTCAAACTATTACATTTAAGATTGGATTCTCTTTCCTACTGAAACTACTATATTTCCTACTATTTATAAAAAAAATAATATTCTGCTTCTCAGGTCTCTGAGATTCCCTTCCTGGAGTTTCACTCCCAAACAGTAGGAGCAGATGCCAGAGCTTCTTTTCCTGCTGCTTTCAGGAGTACACAATTGTAGTTTGAGATACAAGGGCCTCTGACAGTGATCAGTAATTATTTCTCTATGAATTAACCATCACCATTAACCATGGGTCTTGAATAAACTATTTTAGGTCAAAACTCCCAATCAAAATATTAACTTTATCAAGTTCTTTTGAATATCAGGATTAGATAGTGATTTTCTGATAAAACAGAAAAAGTTGGTAAGTGCTCACTTTGCAAACAAGAAGTGATAGTTGGCACAATGTTGCTTATTATTGCAACTGCTGTAGTAAGATAAGGTGCCTTTTCTAAAATGTGGATCTACAAAGATCTAACAGGAAAACCATTTATTGAAGATTTCAATACTCAAGGAAAGCACCAACAAAATATTGTGTCTCAATATAAACCAATTTGTCTGGCATTTCAGAGGATATTTAAGAAGAACCTCTGTCAGATACAGAGACAGCTGAATAATTTTCTGAGGTTTGTGGCTTCAGAATAGTAATTTCATATATGGTATGAGCTTTGGTGTTCTAAATTAAGCTTCTAATTCAGCAAAAAGGCATTTCTAGACAGGAAAAAGAACCAAATAATTATTTTTACCTTTTAGCTAATCATTCACAAAGAAAATTTTCTAATATATTCAGCATTGTTTTAACATACATTATTGCTGCTACAGAAGTCAGAGATCATCAATAAATGAAGACAATGTTAGAGGATGCCAAAAGCTTGCTGGCTGATTTCTGAAAATATTTTGATCTTAACATGTAACAACAGATTGTCAATGTCCATGCATCTCACAGACTGCATGTTAATTAATTAGACTTGATGATCAAGAGCTCTGTCTTTTCAACCATGTTTTAACAAAATGATTTGCAAAATCAGAGCACTGCCACTGGCTAATGCACAATCTAGAAAAAGCTCAGACTACAGGACCGAAGTTACAGATACCAAAATATATCTGTGAAAATGACTAATTTATGATTAATAGATTGCTCAGTGCATTCCATTTTTTCCCCCCAAAATAAGGAAAAATTATTTTAAAACTTCAGACATTTGGGATATTTTCAAAATGCACATTTCAATCAACATTGTGTTACCCATGAGGAAACTTCAGAGACTGCTTAATGTATTTTGTTATATGTTTTCAAATTCTACTTCCTAGAATATATTCTTGGAAATTCTCACCAAGAATATTACCTCTGGCATTTGAGCTGAAAATAAAAATCTGATGGAAACATATTTAAAGGTTTTCCTCATACAGGTCTGAGCCTTCCAGAATGCTTCTTCATGCTCTCACAGCAAAGTGTTTCCAAACTGAAATATAGCAGCTGACATTGAACTGAAAAGCATGTTCCAAGTTGTTGTGGTTAGTAAAACAAGAGTGCCCTCTGTCGATGATGAACTCAGGATCAACAACTTGGGCACAATAAAATATATTCTGCTTGAAATCTGTCAAATTCAGGGTAACTGCCTCACTATTCCCACGGAAACTGATTCCAAAGTTACCAAACGTTTCAGCTAAAATGTAAAATTTCCTCTTTACAGAGAACCCATGGACTTCTTCACAGAAATAATGAAAAGATAACATTTTTGTGAGAAAGAGTTTTACCTCTTCGTAATAACGGAGATTATTCTCAGCCACATTAATGAATGTCGATCTCATATCCCACTGCATGTTCTGCTTCCACCTGTCCCAATCTGCTTTCAGAGCATTATTGGCACGTTCAACTTTGTCTTCAAGTTTCCCAATCTCTTCTGAGAACTAAATATTAATTGTAAACATTAAAAAATATTAGCAAAATCACCATTTTCAAAATTATTGAAATCAATTGACTCTAGCAGAGATGAAGAGAACTGCAGAACCAAGATTGTATTTAACTCAGCAAAAAAAGTATTTCCCCAGAGATAAAATTAATTCTTAATTAATAAGTCACTAAAATTTCTGAAATATTAATAACATAAAATACAGACCAGAATTAAAGTGTTCCTGGAGATATTTTTGTTCACTGAGAAGTTACAGACTCTGGCACCTCTTCACTAGCACTTGACATTAATGCATCAAAAAGAAATATATAGAGGGCTTTACTAAAGCAGAATCAATTGTACAAATTAGATTTGGATAGAAAAAATGAGAAAATCCTGACATAATCTTTGATAACAGGAGAAAACAGAATGAGGAGAAGACAGCAGAAATCAAAATCACAAACTTTCTGGTTTCTTGCCTGTCACATTGCCATCTTTTCTTGTTGAACTGTGTGTGACCATATGAGGGAAGAAGAAACACAGAAGCAGAGAAATAAATTAAATGGAAGAACTTCTACAGAAAAGAAACTCTTTTACAGTAATCCAGGACCCAAAACCTTGAGGGCTACTCTACAGACATTACTTGCTTCTCATTACTGTAGATGCATAAACTGACTTGCCAACTAATGGGAGTAAGTGGACAGCAGCCTTGTCTTATTAATGAGTTTTTCTGGTTTTCTCAGTAATTCGGTTACCTATTGTCATTTACTAATCAGCTGTGTCTGTTGTGGCTGGCACCAGGTTACAGAACGAGGTACATCTCCTGTGGCTACAGTGCAAAATCATCTGCTGCAGAATGGGACTGCAGAGCCACTGTCTGCAGCAGGAGGGAGGGCAGGCACAAACACCACCAAAATAAGGAGGATCAGGCAGGGAAACTTAATTCCTTGAATTGCTTCCATTGCAACTCAGGCTCCATACATTTCTTCTTCATCCTTATATTCTGCCATAAAGCAAATAGTTTCTTCCTCATTACCTCAAGAGTAAAGTGTAAAGTGGGATAGCTGCTTTTGCTTTCTGCAGAGCTGGTGTTTTCATTGATAAGAAGTTCAGGATTCCAGGACTAACTTCCAGGATTTTTTAAGAAATGTTTACACTCCTGGTAGAACACAGAAACACCAGAACTCACAGCAAGACATGAAAAGTCTGGGTGCACAGCCACCAGCTTGGACCATGCAGGGGAATACAGTGATCAAGTGCAACAGCAGTGATGCTGCCATCAGCCACAAACTGAATCATCAAACATTGCCTGAAATGGTCACAGAACCTGGATCCCATTCAGCTCTTAAAGAAGCCAAGAACTGCTTAGCTACTTAAACTGAAAATTTCATCTGAATCAATGTTATCCACAGCCAATAACATACATTTTTAGTTAGATTTGATTTTGACAGATTTTTTTTGCCACATTTCAAGATTAATGAAATACAGGTTATTAATGGGGAAAAAAAAAAAAATTTCTACTTCACTGAAAAGCCCAAGTTCAGTTATCTGGCTAGACCACTAATCAAGCTACAGACAAGTGTAATTTCAACTACCAACTGCATTCAAAATGAAAAGGTTAATCCAAAGTTTAATCGTGGGGGAATTACCTTTAAAGGAATTACAGACAACTGGATTTGGTATTTTGACCATGTTCAATGCTAATTGCCTGTCCTTCAAATACCAAAAAATGAATGCACACAGAATACCAAAAGTGATGACATTTTAAAGATGATTTAGAGTAGGAAAGACAGTTGAATCCATTCCCTGCTTTTGCAGAAAGTTTCTATATGGGAATGCACTAGTCTACACACATAAAGAACTTCTCTGACTTAGAAGTCCTGGCTGCAGCAAATTCCCCTGACCTCGTTCTTTATAACTTTCTAACTTTAAGTAAGTTATTTTACCGTTTGTTTTTCTCCAGCCTTTTCTAGCAACTACAAATTTCTTCCATACTGTAGTCAGAACATGATATGGACAGGTAGACTCTGTTATACAACTGTCCTGGGGTGACTTTATGATGCTTTATCCCAAACCAACTGTTCTGCTTATGCAGTTTGTGTTCAGAAACGGCACTCGCTCCCCAGCATCCTGCTCTGGACTGTGCTGTCTGCAGCATGGACAGACAGTGGGACAGAGCTCTCCTTTGCTTTTACTTAGTTTGTAGCTAGCTGAGGCAGAGAAGCTCCCCAGACTGTGTTTTTTCCTTTTCCTTGGATCTGTTCAAACCTGCTGTGGACTGAAACCCCAGCCAAGCCCTGGGAGCTCACTCCTGTGGCCCACCAGGGCCTGGGCCTGGGCACTTTCCATCTCTGGAGGGACTGCTGAGAGACTGAGCGAGCCGAGCTACACCCCACAAGGGGTTATCTCTTCAGAATAGAGAGAGGTTTTATTGTTTACTATTATTCATTTTTTATGATTGTAGATACTTTGCTTGTTAAATAAACAGTTTTTTCCACTTTTCTCCAAGGAAATCTTTTCCTGAACCAGTTGGGGGACGGTCCACTTAAATCTGCTTTCTAGAGAGACCCCATTCAGAGGTTTTCTCACAATTTCCCTCAGCCAGGACAACAACTGTGCCTGGATATGCAGTTTAAACATCCCACTCTAAAACCCCAAAGAAACCACATATTGTATTAAGGCAAGGGTTGGACTCAAGGTCTAAAGGAAGCATTATGCCGCATGTCAACGTGTCAAGTAGAGATGTTCAAGGTCTACTTTTTCAAAACTGAAATAACTCATCAGTGCTACTCTCTTTAGCTGCCATGACAGCAGAAATGAAAGAATGGCTTGGACTTAACAAAAACATCCACCTAGTGTGTTTCTCATTTACAAGGTGTAAATTGTTACAACTGATCCTGCAAATTAAACAGGATTCTGAATCCATTTTCTTACACTGATCTCACTAAGGCAGCTGGTGTGAGAAATTAAATATCCCATAAGTGATGGCCAGAGGCCAGCACAGGACTAATCAGACATGGGACCAGAGCACAGGAAGGTGGGAGCCAGGCATTGCTAGGGCAGAGTGTTAGCAGACATGGACCATGTGACTGTAGCCAGAGAGACCTGGTCCAATAGCCAAATTACATGGTAAGTGACACAGCATTTTACACTATCTCACTATGCAAAATAGCACGAATTTCTATCTGCTACATGAATTAATCCTACGGCTTGGTGATACTAACTCCTTTTTAGCCTGGAGTTAAAACACAAAATATATTCAGAATGTAATAAATTCAGCATTTCATCTCTTTACTACTCAGTTTCAAGCCTAAACACTAGAATCCTTAAATTGGCATTTAATGCTTATCTCGCTCTGTCAGAGCACATTTATACCAACCTTTTTTCAGAATTATTATCAGCCCTAGTGGCAAGACTAAAACTATTAAAAATGCCCAAACCATAGAGAGATACACTAGCATTTCTGTGTAACCTCCAGGATGGAGTGTGGGAGTCATGGAGCAGCATATCCCACTATCTTTACAGCCGCAGCTCTGGAGGCAAGAAATGTCTAGATAAGCAGGAGGGTACCAAAGTCCTGCCCAATCTCTCTGTCAGAGCCTGCATCCAAAATCAGTCTTCAAATCATCCATACCCTGAACAACCACCTCCTTTGTGGACCAAATTTTGGAGTAAAAACCAAGGTTTTGGCTTCTGTAGCAGCACCACAAGCAGCTTTCTAACACAGCTCAAGGAAACTTATTTTTTATCAGCCGATGAGCCTAATGTCCCGTAAGGTTTAATTTACAATTCCAGCCTATTTCATCTTCATCGACCTTTAGGGATGTTTTGCATTGTTCTGCTGTACAACCTTGTGTTCATTAAATCATTTCCTGTTTGCCATGACCAGTGCTAAATATCTCACAACCTTTTATCAGCTCTAATGACAGTCTGAGACTCCTTCTCTGTGGTGGAAATGTACTTCAAATGAGATTAAGGTTCATGCCACTCATTGTCAGCAGAAGTTCTGGCTACTAGATTGCACTGACAAGTTCAATCTGACATCTATGAGATCATTAGAAGCTACAGGAGTTCAGCTTAGGAATAGAAATGTGCAAATACACCCAAACTTGGTGTCTCACACCTGTTCCAGCAACATACCTGTGTTATGACCACCTTTCATTATGAAGTAAGTCTGGTTAGAATTGTCAGAAAAGTATTTCAACTCATAATAAAAGTTAAAACATAGTAAAAAAAATACCAAGAAAATAGTTAAGTCACTTGAATGGTTAAAAATAACAGTACACCGTTTTCTGTTGCCAAACTATCCTTACTAGAAAAAGGCTTCAGCTTCTAATTAAGAAAAAGGCTTCAGGATACAGCTGCCACTCAATTAGAGAACACAGGATTTTATTATCAGATTAGACTAACAGACATCTGTTTTACTGCTCTTCTGAGACTGTAAGGAGTACCAGGCTCTCAAGAACAGGATTCTCTGAAATTAATAAGAAATAGAGGGGCTGGAAAGATAAAGCAAAATCTGAACACCTGAGTAATCAGTGTCCAAAGCCTTTACCAAACTGTAAATGCAGATATGGAAACATATATACAGTGAAAAAAATAAGTTTGGGCAAACTGATTTTAAAATCTTACTAGAAGCAAGTACAAACATCTCATGATGGAGTAAACCACTGTTGATATCAAATCAACATGGAATGATCATTCTGTGCTAAAATACAAATATTCTTTGTTTTTATTTGTAACACTTCAGGAAAAGGGAGTGCATGCACATTGTCTCAGAACTCCATCAGATTATAACAGAAATGCATCCTAAAAGGTTGCATTGGTGTCTTTTCTACAGTAAACGAGTCTGGCTGCTAAACAAGCTGTATGGAGCTGAATTCGTCACTGAGTGCACCTGCCATGGCTACCCAACTCCCAGCCTAGGGGGCTTCTCCAACCCACCATCCTCTGTTCATTTTGTAAGAGCTTCAGGCTTTAAACTACAGAAAAATGACAGGAAAAACAGCAAAGAAAGTAGAGTAACAAAAGCAAATTACAGAACACAAAGGCAATAAATAAACAAAATTTCCACTTCAGGAAAAAAACCCCAAAACTAGAGATATTTACTTAATGTCCCACTGCAGTACACAGAGGCAAACTGTTACATAATATACCATAGCCATTGTAGATATCAGAAATCAGCAATATATTTTTAGTTATTCACCTTACTGCCAAAAAAGTCAAATAAAAATATGCATTTCAAGTGCCAAAAACTATCTAAACAGCTCATCTTCACATGGAAACTAATTGCAATAAGCCTAATAAAAAGTATCTGAAATGTTAAGGATTTTCTCCTTTGATGTACTAAAAAGTTAATAGTCATTTTTATATATTATTTACACTGTATAACACTTGGTATTAATACTGTGCTAAAAGGACATTATTTAGGCTGGAGAGTTTAACAATCAAAAATTTTAAAAATGCTGATTCTCTTCCCAGAAGTTGTTTTTAATTGGCTACTGAGCCTTGCTGGTGGTTTTGGGGATGCCTGTCCCCATGGGGTATCAGTTACAGTCTGATTTCACTAGAATGAATGAAAGTTTCATACTGGGAGAAAAAAAAAATATCACTGGGCTCAACTAGAAAAAACAAAAATCTGAAAGAACAGAATGCAGAACATTTTAATTTAAATAAGTTTAATGAACAGCTTTGTTGATTCTAATCACCTCCTCTACTTCTCCTACATCAATGAAGCAGCAGCTACAAGAGCATTACAGCAACTGTTACTTTCCTTTAATTCCAAGTGTGGAAGCAAACAGAAAAGCTAAAAATAAGCTGTGGTACAGTCTGTGTTGACAAAGACCAGTGGTCACCCACCACAACCAGCCCTTCCCTCCAGCAGCACAGCTCCAGAGGCGCTGCTTCTTTCTTGTGATGCCTTTGGCTGGCACAGAGAACTACCAGAGACAGCACCCAGTCCCAGCACACGGCCTCAGGGAACACATGTCCCTCTTCTGTGCGTCTCCCGCTCTTACAATACGGCCCAGCTTTCTGAAAATACTCACCTGATCCTTTTCTGTCTTTTTACTGGCTAAAGCATCAACTTTGGAATCCAACTCGCCTTGAATTTGGTCTCTCCTTTTCAAAACACCCTTAGTATGAAAAGAAAAAAAAAAAAAGAAAGTACATAGCACCGAATTTTAGCTCTTTCAGAAAACCATCAAACGACTATTTGATAAACAAGATCATAGAATTACACCATTTAATAATTTTGACATGATACATGTTTTATAAAAAAAAATTTAAAATCATGAAGACTTATTTTTCCAAGACTGTATTTTATCTTACAGGTTTTTCAATAATCTTACTAAATCCAAAATCAGTACCACAAGAATCTGCCATACACAATATCACTGCCAGTTGGATGAGCAGCACTGCTACAGCAGTTTACTTGGTATCAGCTTAACTTACTATATATTCATTTAAAAACAGCAACATGAGTTTGCCAAATATCATGAACAGAAGTATGTTGAGTAAAATTTACAATATAAAGTAGAATGACTAGAAATGGTATACAAAGCATTATTGAAATAGTGACTTCAATCCTTAATATTAAATTTGTAAGTGCCAAATATAGTTCTGGCAAATCAGAAAAAAAAATCAGAAAAATCAGATAAAAGTTATAGGATGATAGCTTTTCTGCCATTAATATATGTGCTTATTTTCAGCATATGTAATTTTTACCTCCTTTGAAACTGTCTTATCAGGTACTGGGTTTTTAGCATAATGTCAAAAATAATTAGAAAGGGGAAGGAATATTACTTGTTAAACTACAAAACAGGAACAGTATTACAGATTAAATTTCAATCTCTAATGCTCATTTGCTCTGAGACCTTGATGAAGCCTTACAAATGTCTCTTTGTCTTAGTTTCCTGATCTGTAAAAGCACACTCAGGTATGCTTATCTTGCAGAAATGTTGCAAGGCTTTTGTCTGTTTGAAAAAAAATCAGAAGCAGGACATACATAATTACAAATCTCGAAACCTTCTTTTACATTACCTTGCCACAACTGGTTTTACTGCTTCTTCTGCAGAGATGTTCAGTATTCACCTCTAGCATAGGGCATGTTGAAACAGCACAGGCCACAAGCAGCTCTACCTTCTCTAGCTCTCTTATTTGACTGAGTTCTCTCTGAAATCTTGACACTTTATCAAACATGATAGAATAATTTAAGAGCTTAATTTTCAAATAATTTTTCAATTTTCTTTTTGAACAGGTAATCACTATAAAAAATTGGTAGACTTGACTTTGAGCATTTCTGAACAACAGATCAGCAATACAGATGAATGCTCATTAATAGCTTGGAATCATTTGGTTAGATAAATACAGAAAATATTTAGCTGGAAGCACAGAAGCAAAACAAATGTCTGGAACAGCTTTTCTTCATAATACAAATGTTTTCTCTTTCTTCCTTTCTTTTTCCTCTTTTAAAACTTCTAATGACTGCCTGGCAACATTTATCACACATACACTTTAAATTACAAGACAAAATCAATTACTTTAATATTAATGTGCTATGTCTATAGGCAAGTGCTGAATTCTAGTGGCCAACAAAGGCACTTTATTTTTAAAACATATTATTATACTTTTACAAGTTTTTTGTATAATACTTAATGGTAGCTTGCCACCCACAAATATTTTATATGGACTGCATGTGATCTTGGCAGCACTGCACCAAGGTCCCTGCAATGAGGGGTTAAACACACCTCTGAAGTGTGTTACTACTGGGTGACATCCACAGGGTAGGCAATGGGCAGGCAGCATCTCCTCAGCTGCATGAAGAGTAAAATTGCTTATGGGTAAAAACCACAGAAATTCTGAAAAATAAGGTTGGAAGTGAGGGAGATGACCTGCAATTGCTACGACAGTAATCTCTTCAGATCTTCAGATCTTCAGATCTTTAAGCAATACCTACCTCCTCCTCTTTAGGCAGTACCTACCTCCATCTAGCAGCAAATAATGAGGCCTGTGAGATACAGGACATTTTGTATGGCCCCTTTTCCTGTGAAGCTTGTTTTAAAGACAGCAGTCATTGCAGCAGGAATTCCTAACTCTCAGTAGCTAAGCCTTACTGAAAAAGTAGCATGTGAAGCTTGTTTTAAAGACAGCAGTCATTGCAGCAGGAATTCCTAACTCTCAGTAGCTAAGCCTTACTGAAAAAGTAGCAATACCCTGCAGAGTGCCACCAAAGGCTCAGTTAACTTGGGTCTTGCTCTACTCATGGACTGTAAGACTCTTGCAGCCCCTACTGAAACCAGGAGCTGGGTTCCCAGCAGGAAGACAAGAACAGATTCTGCAGCTGGCATTGCTCAAAACCTAGACAAAGAGGGGTTTGTACACATGTTCTGCTTTCTGTAGGCAGCTAAGTGGGAATTATGACATACTGAATTCAGTTACTTAATTATGCTGATTATCCACCAGCACTGACTATATTAACTCTGGAGTCTGATTTTTTACTTCCTCTCTAAGTGTAAGAAAAATACATACATAAAGGGAACTGAGAGCAGTAGCTTGTGGCAAAGACTAACACATGCTTATGTAATGGCGCAGGGACTGGAAGTTCCCAGCTGTTCTGGAAAAAGAAAACATACTTAGGAAGAGCTCCTAGAAAGGGAAAAACCTCTCCACTCCTTTTCCCACACACAATCTGTTACTCAATGAGTTCATGTCTTTCTCAGCTGCTGTCCCCAAACCCTCACTGCTACAATGCAGAGCTCATTGAAGACTGCAAACTAGACACCATAGCACAGCTACTCAGGGCTGCCTGTCAGGCAAAACTATCAAGCTCTTCTTATTTGGAAGGGGCACCTCTTACCTGATTAGCAAGAGAAACAGGACCAATTGGATTTCCTGATAACATTCAGGTATCGTATGCTGTGCACGCTTTGTACTGAGTAAATACAGGGACTGTAAAGTCATTTTCATCAGCCACAGATTCTCTCCTGGACATTTTCATTGGACTAAGTCAAATTCGATACTGAGCCAGAAAGAGTCCTTCAGGAAACCTTACCATGAGAATTTCACTGTAGAGAACGTATTCATGTAAAATGGGCAGCAGGTGCTCTGAGAGCCCTGCCATTCGCTTCTCTGTAGCCCTGCAGCAGCGGTCGATGCAGCTGGCAATGCCCTTCAGGGAGTCTGCTATGTCTTCTTCTGAAGCTGACCACAGTGTGTGGATGGGGCCGTACTCCTTCATTTCATTAAAATAGTCTTAAAAGGAACATATACACCTATTATTCTTTTCTTCATTAACAGAGGTCTAAGTGACACTAATTGCAACTTTGTATTTACTGTGAACCAAACAAGATACTGATGCTAATGTTTAAATTTGCTCAAATGACCAAGGTAAGTAAACTCCAGTTCACTGTTTATGAACAAACTAATCAATTGATGTAATTAAGTAGCTTTGAGAAATCTATCAGCAAAAACGCCCCAGACATTTCACAATGACACACATACTCGAGTAGACTTGAAGAGCTGTTTTCAGACACCAATGACCTGCATTACTTCACAGTCTTCATACAGAGCAACAGGAGCCACAGCAGTTGGTCTGACCTGCTGACTTCTACTGTCCTGAATTCCTCTGGTTCTTGATAATAGCAATGTTCCAAATACAGTCTCAGTTATTAAAACTAGAAGCTTTGTTATGTCCCAAAAGCTTCAGAAGAAACACTGAAGTTCACTCCTGCTCAGCAGGTATCTCCTTCAGTAGTTTTTATTAATTTAAACACAGGGGTATCTTACTAATTAATTTTCTTATGTTTCTAGACCAAGTGATAATCCATAAACAGACAGAAGGCCCACAAATCACTGTGCCATTTGGTACAGCTAAATACAGGCAAGTTGCAGTTCACAGGACAAACACATTGGTCATGCACTAAAAATGCAATTTTGTCACTACTGAATTTATAATGAAGAAATGTCCTAAGAAAGATGAAAGCAATCATATGACATAAAGAGTGTAAAGTTTACTTTGAGATTATTTGGACAAAAAAAAAGCCCTCTATGGAAGATGTAATCAACCCCCCGTGTTAAGGTACTGCAAGCAGGAATGTTCCCTGTATCACAGTTACCAAAAATTCCAGTAGTGTTGCCCTGCTTAAGGAAAAAAATCAGATTAAGCCATCCTTCTTGGGAAAACTTTAGTAGGCACAGTTTGCCATGACAAAAATTATGGCCAACAGTAAAACTATTAAATAATTAAAATCTACTTTGTCAATGGAAAAAAGGTACAGAACAAAATTGAACAGAGATGTTTAGAGACCTGGAATCAACATAGCCTCTTGTCACTATGAGATTGCACAGAAAACTACATTCCCTTGAAAGTTAAAAACCAAAGGCCATACAGCTTTCCAAAAAGCACATTAAAGTATTCTTCTAAGTTCCTTATAAGTAGCTGAATGACATATTAAAACATCCTATCAAAAAAAAATTAATCAAACTTGAGGGTCTGTCAAAAACATGACCATAAAAAACCCACAACATAAACATAGAAATCTCCCTTTTTCCTTGCTTGCTGGAAAGCATATTTTGTTTGCCACAATGAAAACTAATTTACTTTTTAATTACTTAAATCAATAAAACTGACACGTTTTCTACTTACCCCTTTCTTCCTTGTAAATCCTATGAGCTATTTTATCTAGTAAGTTTATTTTCTGACTAAATGTTTCCATGTAATTGTTCATTTCTGTAAACATTTCAGGGCGATTTTTAACTGCTCCTCTTACTGAGGATGCTACAGCTCTGACGGTCTGTCCCATCCTGCTCAGCAAACCAGGACCCTGCTTCTTGTGTGAGGAGAGTTCCTAAAGACAGAACAAGCTCTCTTTATTTCCAGGTACTTTTGTTAATTCTCTGAAAAAAATAAACAAAGTGCCTTTTTTTTCTACTTTTCTTTTTTTTTTTAAATAAAACTACATACATAAACCTGCCTTTTTAATGTATAAATCTTATCATTATTAGATCAATGCCAGAACCATCCCTGTCCTGTGCATTTATTAGCCAAGCCTTCCTGAGCAAACACAAGCATGCCATGTATAACAAAAGAATGGTTGAAGAACCTTCACCCCTTCACTCCTCAGGGTGAGTTAGCTAGTTTGCCATTTAGCTTTTTGAACAGGAAAGCAGAGGTAATGATTGCAGAAATAAGTCTTTGCGAAAAGCAGACAGTGCTCCTACTAGAGGAAGTAATCAATCTATTTTTTTAACTCTTTTTATATGTTACTAGAATAACCTTTGCTGAAATTTAGAGGCAGGCTTTTCTGAGTACAGAACTCCAGTTTGCAACTGGACACGTTTTACAACAATGCAGCAGGAAAAGCCTGTATTTTTCTTTTAAGAGATTAGTAAAACTTAATTAAAAAAACAAAACACAGTGCCATGCAAAAACAATAATTAATTAAAACCACTATTTTCCTCATAATCTTGGAAACATGCGTACCAAAAAACATGCAGAGTTGAAATACTATGAATTTGCAACAAAAATCCAAAATGCAGAAACAAAAACAACTTTGAAAGGTACAGCTATATTCATGGTCATGTGCATGATTACCAAAACCACTGAAGAAATGGTTATCTCAAGTTATGAATATTCCATGAATCCCTGCCTGCTTCTGCCACTTCTGTAACAAGCCATGGGATGACACTACTGAATACTGAACCAGGGAGGCTCCTGATATACCCTACTAACACAACATGTGGTTTCATGTAACTAAATAAAATTTTACCCAGGCTTGTGCAGTAAGAAAAATTTTGAAGTCCTCATTAAAAGTTAAAGTTGGATGATCAGCAATCCGGTTCAAAAATTTATGTAAAGCTTTTCTTCGAGTCTCAATGAATTCATCACTAAATCGTTCCACCATTCCCTTCATTATGAATTTTTCTGGCAATGGCTAAGGAAAAAAAGAAGAAATATATTGTATAATTTGCATAATATTCAGAGTATTACAACAGTTCTTCTGCTTACTAAAAAGCATAGATATACCTTGTAAAATCCATCAACAACCCAAAAGCTATATAAAGTTACCATATTCAACTAAGGTATACCATTTTTCTTGTAATATCCAGTGCAGACAAGCATAACTAAGAAAGGACATAAATTACTGCAAAGTACTTCAAATGCCACAATTAAAAACCTAAGAAATACATTTATGTGATTTTTTGTCACATACATACAAAACTAGGGAAAATAGGTTGGCTTAACGTTTGTGATACTTCAGAAGCTGAAGAAAGACCTCAAACATCTCTGTATAAAACTGGAGCCATCTTATAAACAAATAAAAATAACTTAAGTTTTAGCAAACAAACAGGAATAATCAGTGTTGGATGTGCTTCTTCAAGTCTGCTCTTCAACCAAAGGAAATCCTGATATCGTCTTCGAACTTCATATTCACTGGAGTCAAATTCACCACGGGTTGTCTGAAAACCAAAAGCAGAAAAAACAGGTTTAGATTACAATACCAGAAAAAAAAAAAAGTTTTAGATTTTGGAGAAAACATTACTTGAGGGAATGCATATGTTCTATTTCATCCCTGTTACTGGTTTGCTGTTATTTTAAATAACAGTGGTCAATTATTTTAAAAGTTAACACATCCTACTTCAGCAACACATCAAAGTTTTCTTGGGGAAAAAAAAATGCGAGCAATAAGCTGCACTTTGTGCAGTATAATGATTATTTTACCACAATGTTTCCAAATAATTGCAGTAATTACTTTAGTGTGGCATTTTTCTTTCAGCAATCACAGGTATGTTCGTTACTTTAAGGGCACTTCTTTTAAACTAATTAGTAATCTACTCTGAACAAAGCCCAAAGAGCTGACACAAGTCCTTGGGACCTGGTGACATTGCTCAATAATCCTCACATTCAAAACACGAAAACTTCAGCATATCACAGCAATAACACTTCCTGCACTGCTTAATGGATTCTGCGGCCCATCATCAATTCCAGTTTTGCAGCCCCTGTTAGAACTTGCCAACAAACCTTTAATGCCTACAAAAAATGCTTATTACAGATTACAAAATTGTCAGACCGTGAGATTTATTTTAGCACTGCTCTGTCTTCTGGAGGCAAGCCACAAAGAGCCAATGTTTTCATTAACGTGTGCTATTTAGCATTCATTGTTGCACAGAGATTTATAACACAATGCAAGTAAATTCTAAAAACCTCAAAACATGCTTTTGTAATCTAAACATTTTTGAGGGTTGAATAAAAATTTTTCAAGGTACGTGGGAGGAATGCTATTACTTTATCATCAACAACCAGCACTCCAAATTAAATATGATAAGAAAGGACAGAAGAGATAGAAAAAGCAAAAGCAATCCACCTCACAGCCCTTTCATACTTGCCTGAAGAAAAAATGTTCTTTCGTCTACAGAAACAAGCATAAAGTGAAAATTATTGCTAGCAACCTAACAAAAATAGCTCTCTTCCTACTCATTAAATATTTTATGAGGAATTGATATCTCCTCTTATTTAAAGATGAAGAATTCCCATTTGAAAATGTGTTTTTAAATGTATCTTTTAAAAATAACTCAAAATAAAATAAATTAACAGCGCAATTCTCGAAATGGAGCCTGTAGAATATTTACTGGTAATCTCAGAAGACCTGACTGGTCTCACAAGGCTGACTTTTCTTCCTTATTTCCTGTAAATAACTTACGTTCAGGACAACTAAAAATACACTTAATTGTTTCCTAATACTATTTCATTAGAGAATTGCAGCAATTTCCCCAGAAATCGCATGCAACTGCACATGGGAAGCAATCATCCATGTGCTAATGGATGCTGCCATTAGAAAAGAATGGAATTGAAAGACTGTAGGAGGCAATTTTTATGCAAGATGTAAGACTGGTAGCCTGTAAGTGATCCAAAAGTCATCAATACTTGGGCTAATATAGTGCTAATATATAATACTTGTGATAATATATTCGAAGGGGATCAGTCCTTTGGCTGTTTCCTGTTCCTGCTAAAATCACATTATTAGAAAACATTATTGCCTCACAGCACTCATTTTGCCATTGAAGAATTATTAACTATTTATTATTTAAATTTTTAACTAATCATTATTAACTATTATTAACTATTTTCTTAGCATAAAGAATCTAAGCATGTATAATCTAAGCATCTGTGTGTGCAGACTCACACTGAATTTCTCCCACTATATAGCACATTTTCATGCAGTTTTAGTTGTCTATAACCCATTGCAAAATTAAAGTTTAAATTTAGTAATATCCCAGAGAATGCTGTGCAAGAAGAGTGAAAATGCTAACTGTTATCAAAGTAAGCCATTAAACCATGAACAGATACTTACCTTTGTGACTACTCTGTATGTAATAAATGTTTCGATGGCTGTAATGTGGCTTTCAGGATCATCGACTGTAATGAAGAGATCTCTTAATTCTGGCCCATCTTCAAATTTATACTGGTTTATCATTGATGAGGGGGATATTGGCACTGAAGGACTGAATGAATTTACCTCAGCCAGAGACGTATCCTACAGATAAGACACGAGGACATCCATATCAACAATCTTTGTAAACAAACATCTCCGATGCTAAAATGGCAAGCTTTAAAATAATCTCATAGAACAGATGAAACTGGGAGCAGATAAAATTATGTAGTATGTAGCAAATCAGTATTTGCTTTGGTGAAGATGGAAGAAATGAGATTTATTCTAAAATGGATGAAAGAACAAAATACTACCATTTCAGAAGAATGTTATGCATAGCTAGAAGGAGAACTTGCCTATGAACAGTAAAATTAGTTATGAACCAAGCACCCATTAACTGTGTAGGGTACTTACAGTTTTATTAAAATTGTTAGAAGCCAGTTACTGAGGACTTATGATGTTTGAATTATCTCTAATTACCTGAAGAGGATGGATGAAAAAATGATGATTCAAAAAAAACCAAGGCAAAATCCAAATCAGAATTTTTACTGGAATTGGATGTTTCAGTTTGCATTTATTTTAAAATAAAATTTGAAATGGAAAACAATTACAGGTACATAAATTAACCCCTTTTTTATTTTTTTAAGGAAAACAGTAAGTAAAGATGCAGTACATATTTGCTGCTTCATTTCTAAAAAAAAAAGTCAAACCACTGTTTTGCTGGAGTGAAAACCACTTTTTGATAGCACTGACCACTTCTACACAACTCTGTAAGAATACGTCCCCATAGCAACTGCTTCTGCTAGTGTATTCAGTGGTGCTCAGTCTGCTGAGAAACGAGGTGGAAACTGGAGACAGGCAAGACGTCTCATTTTCTTCCTTAAATACAAGTCTGGGTAAGATCCACTAATCTAGAATCTTGAAGGATACAGTTATCATGAAAATGACTTGAGTTTTCTAACTCAAATTACTAATAAAAGAGTGTAACAAATTAATAAATCTTTAGAAATAATAAATTGAAAGAAATCACTATATTTTAAACATCAAATACTGTATATGGCTTTTTTAATATATGCAATGCAAAGAATTATTTTCATAACAAATTTTAAAATTAATGTATTTTCTAGAAGTTTTCTAAAAAGGGAGTTAGACTACACTGACTATGAGTGGCAAAGAGCTGCCCTCTCCAGTGCCTCGTTAACTATGGAGGAAGGAGAACAGAGATGTAGTTTAAGAGAAAACTGCTCAAATTCCAGGACTGGAAAGGTGTGAGTCCTCACTAACTGGAGTCACAGCACCATCCCAAGGCTGACCTCACAGGAATGAAGAGAACCCTACTGTAGAGCTGCTGAACTGGGTGAGAGTTGCTTTTTGCCTTTGAATTCAATTGGATCAGAACTTTCTTTGGAAAGGAACACTTTATCTTGTTCTTTTTCTTTGGATTTATCAATGTACTCCCACAAATATGGGAGCGACATTTACATGAGGAATTATGCCCAGAAAGTGCTCATGTACCAGCTCTCCTCCTATCGCTTACATGCAGTTCTTTGAACAGGGAGACAAAAGCAACACAGAAGACTAAAGACAACACTTTAAATATTACACAGTGGCTTCCTTGTACACCTGTCAGTCATTTTACTTTTACCCAGTGTGTTTCTACATGGTTTCTATACAGCCAGCACTATCCTGAGTCATGCAGAATAAACAGAGCTGTTCCCAGAGCCCGCTCACCCCGGCTGCCCATGGTCTAGATGAAGAATGAGGACTGCTAGCTCAGAGCAGCCCATGCAATTCAAAGTGCTGAGGCAATGGGAAATTTCCAGGGAAAGAAATATGCATGCAAGGAAGGACTTAAATGGCCATATAACTTGAGGAGTAATGACTCTGCAAGGCCTAAATTGGATCAAGGTAAATGTGTTTCATATTCTCATTTTCCATGGGGCATTAATATATTAATGTTACATTCCTTCTTACAGGCTGCTACTAAAATTTGCTCTATTCATGCAGGTGTCTGAAAGTATATGTTTATGTGGAAGGACTTATGAATATGTGGTTTGAGAAACAAAATATGGGCAATAAAAATCCACAGAATAAGCAAGTCTTTGGTTTTGTTTAATACAGCTCTAGTATTCACATGCACATGAATGAATACGACCAGTTTTAAACAAGCATCTGTCTCTTTACCCTCATGATAGTTCAGGTTTACTTCCAGTAATTCTTGAAGTCCATGTGACCTAAGTCTGATGTCATCACAGAAACACAGTTAAAAAAACCATGACAACTTTCTATACAGCTGTAATTTTGTGGTTGGAACTATGTTTTTGTGTTCATACAGATGAGGGCAGGAGTTCTGTTGCACAGGAAAAATAGACAATTCTTCTAGCCCTTGGGTTGTGTAACCTTCTTCCTCCTCATCCATGCAAAGAGCATAAAGGTCCTGTCCCAGAAAATGATGTCCTTTCCCACACCTCGCCCCTCCCCACCTACCTGCAGTAGCCCTTTCCAAGCCCCTTCCCTCCTGACAGAGCAGTTGGCATAGCTGTGTGTGCCAGTCCACAAACAGGTTCATGCCTTTTAATTTACTGGCCAAGAGATCAAAGAGATAGAAAATCAATGAGCAGCTTGATGGCCTTTTCCTGGGTGTCCTTTTTCTAACACTTGCAGTTACCCTATCTGAGCCTCACATTTGACTGCAACTGGTCAGTAACACTCCAAAATACATAAGGGAAGAAAACACTCCCACAGCTGGAGCAGCCTCAAAACAGGCTGAGACAGACACAGCTGAGACTGCAACTCTGGAGAAGACACTGAGCCTGGGGGTTTGTATAAACAATGCTCCCTCCCAGAGCATAGGTCCTTGACCCAAGGTTACCTCTGTGCTCCATCCATCCATCCATCCATCCATCCATCCATCCATCCATCCATCCATCCATCCATCCCTACCGCCCAGCAAGGATCCAGAGCTTGCAATAATCTGAAGCCAGGATCCAAAAACAGGTCTTGAGATAAAGAACACGGGGCCGAGTTTGTCTTGTAAGTGAATAGCTTGGATGTTGGAGCATTCTTCAAAGAGCAAAGATATTCAGGATGTCTGATTTATAAGTAAATTTTTTTGCCAGTAAACTATTCTGTCTCAAATCCTTGATGAACTTGAAGATGAATCTTGAAGAAAAATTAGTCTCTATGCAATTCTGAAGTGGCATATACATATTTTTCAGAAATATCATTAAGTTTTCTGTAATTATAAAATGCAGACAAACACTGTGAAACAGAGTTTGAAAGCAGAGGTGCTAAAGGTTTTAAGTATTAACTAAACTGCTGACAGCTTTGTCAATGCTACATATCAGTTATCAACAAATGCAAAAGATAACTGAATGGATATTTGTGATACAGGCAGTACTCCAAAGCTAAAGGAAGAAAGCAGGGTGAAAACATTCCATCTGTGTGACTCACAACTCCGCTCCCAGAATTTGTCTCTGCTGAAAAGAATTCAGAACTTTTTCAGTGGCAGTGGAAACTAGGATAAAGTGAAATGCACTTCACATCATGAAATGCTTTATCAGAGCTGCTGAAGATGCTGGTCTGTAATGTTTGAGATATGTTAGAGGATACCAGGTCAATGGTTTATAACACTATCAGGTTAAACACCTATGGATTTTTGTAAAATAAAAGCCCAGCGTTTACATTCTGAGTAATAACTCAGGGTATTGAGGTTGACAATTTTTAAGAATCTCATTTTTCACCATTTTGTTAGCTGGCACATTGCACTGCCTTGACAGAGAAAGATGAAGCTGACGAGAGTGGCAAGCAGCAAGCTCTGCGTGGCTGCTGCTGTCCTGCTTGGCCTGCAAAGGCAACACCACTGCCTTACTGACACTGCATGAGGAGCCCCATTAAGATGCAATTTAAAACAAGGTAGTCCTGGAACAGTATGTTATGGAAAAATTAGTCTTACAAGACTTAGTTGTAAACTACATTTAGCCTGTCAGATTCCTTTGAATATATGGAACATGAATAAATAGGGTGTAAAGCCCAAACAACCTCACAGATTTTCAACAGCTCAGAAGATCAATCTCAAATTGCACTTGAAAACAAACTATGAATTTCTGGTTGATATATACAACCACTACATGCAGGTATTCAAGCTTTGGAAGGAAAGCTGTATTTTCATATAATATGACAATTTTTTTTGTTTGCAGGAATAACTTATCATGTAGCATGCATTAATAGCAGTTAAGATTTCATACAGGTAAAAAGATTTGGCATGAATCCAGGTAGAAATGTAAAGATCTCAATATTTGCTATAAAGCAGCAGTAACTTGTATCTACTCCACTTGTTTTTATCTTTTATTCCCAAGGAGAATTGCTCTTGACAAGCAAGCAGCATAAGCATCAATCCACTGTGTTGATATGCAGATACCTTCATGGAGAACTGCCTGAACTTCACTCATAAAAGGAAATGGATGCAAAGTGAGCATAAGCAACTAAAATTATATTTTAGCACTGCTTTTGCATGCAAGTTCAGTGAATCATTCATCTTTTTATGTCAAATCAGGACTGGTGCTTTCCAAGAAAATATAAATCAGCTCAACCCTAGTTATGCTTCAGAAAAATACAGGTAACTTAGTGAAATTTAGCCTAATCTCTTGCATGTTACAGACTATTTATTAAACCACCTAAGAGTCCCTTCTGGCCTTAAAAGCCATGAGTTTCAAGAATTCTATTATAGTCAGAGTTTAAATACATAACTCCTAAGAAGGAAGTCCTTATTCCAACAGTTGTATTCATACATACCACAACAGTGTTTCTCACCTACAGAAATATAAAAACCAAACATTTGCTCCCTATGACAATCTGTCCTACTGAATAGAAATACATTGTCACTTTTTCAGATCGGAAATGTAACTGCTATTTCTCTCCCATGGCACACATTCTGTCACAGAACTTCACAAGTCTCAGATGGTGAATGACACCCTAGCCCCGTATATATTTTTTCCACCCTAGCTCTCTGTGTGCACTTTTATTTTAGATGCTGCCTTGATAAGGCAAATAGATCCATGACATGCCCTCTTCTTTAACTGCTGAGGAGACAAGAGGTAAGTCTTGTCTTAACCTGTCCTAAATCAGGACTAAATGAGAAAC